AATAAAAAAATCAATTGTTTCTCACCAAAATATTTATCTCAGGAAAACCAGTGTACTGTATTTTCATGGTTCCAAGTGTTAGTTTTATCACATGTTTATATCGCATTTTCACAACCTTTCCATACACCACCTTTCAAGAATATCATGGTAAGAAGACGCTCATTTAACAAAATTATAAAATATATCTTGGTAAATAGACGCTTCATCATGATAAGTCTGGGTTTCTCTCGGGTAATCCGTGCCACAAAATATACGGTATATTTTATAGTATACTAGGCGATAAATGTGCGAACTCGTTATCAGCTGTTACGCAATATTGCATGAATTGACCGTTGCAAATTTAAAGGTTGGTTGTCTTTATGTTACGAGGTGAGAATGGCTGGAAAAAGTATATATGTAGTCTTACAAAATCAGCCCTGATTGTTTTTTACAAGCAGGCCAGCTGCTAGGGGGGGGGGGGGCTTGGACCTCATAAGACCCCAGTAAATCCCTATTTTAATGAGAAAAATAGGCCTTTTTTAATATATGAACTAAATGACCATTGTGCGACAGAATGGTTGTCCTAACACTTAATTGAACCAACGAGAGCAAGCCCTTGGTGTTTGCTGTATATTTATTCGCATTGATAGGTATTAACAAGTTTTTTGACTTTAACTTATATCTTATGATGTAGTATAAATTATCATTATATTATGTTAAGCATTATTTTCGGTATTTAACTTGATTGTGCACCGCGCATACATATTAATGTGCTTCCGGTAAGGAGGCAATATTGGATTAAATCGTAGATTAAAACCACATACAAAAAGAATGAACATTTGTGTTCAACCATTACAATTGTAATTCGGAGTTATTCAATTTCATAAATTTAAAAACAATATAACATTTCTTGATGCGGACAATGTACCGTGTTCGGATATAATTAAGCTACGAATATTTTGCTTACGTTGTACGGTAATCATATTGTAAAAAACTATGACGAATTGAATATGATTAATTACATGTATATGGTATGCAGAGGTCAAGTGCAAAAGGAATGGTCACTAGACTGATATGTGTAACGAAGTGTTTAAATTTCTTGGAGCACTCTAACAAACAAATACATTTGGTCACACGCGATATTCTGAGGCTAGAAATGAACAAATGACTTTGACAATCCTTTTAATAACAGTATGCCCTATTGTTAAAAATTTGTTGATGACGATCTTTCAGAGACAGTAATAAAAATGAAGATATTGCGCATATTAATAATGAAATCAACAGGAACCGTTCATGTAGAGGGCCTTATACCTACTCGATGTGAATTTAGATTGAGGTGTATGTGTTAGAAGCAAGCCTTATTATAACTCTGATGCAACTACTATGACCTCATGTATTTACTTAAGCCAATTTTCACAAAGATAGTTACATTTGCCTAAGTACAATTCAAGATGTAATCCACGTCTGGCATGGTGAATAACCTTGCTTCAGATGCTTTATTACATTCCCAATAACAAGCATGTTGCATATGTTTGTGTAATGTACCCGGAAATGTTAAACATACCTGTGAAATGTTATCCAGGTAAAAACATAAAGAGAATGTTGAATACATATGTAAAATGTTCTCCCGGTACAAACATAAAGAACATATTGAATATTTGTTTGAAACGTTCTCCCGGGAAAAACATAAAAGATATTGAATTAATTTTGAAATGTCCTCCCGGTACAATTATAAGGATAATGATGAATACAACTTTGAAATGTTCTTCCAGTACAAACACAAAGGAAATGTGAATATATTTTTGAATTGTCCGTCCAGTACAAACATAAAGAGCAAATGAAACAACAATATGTCCCATAAAAATAAAAAAGCAAACAAAAAGTAACGAAACAAAAACATATGTCATTCACAAATTATAAAATAAGTTAGATTGGTTAGTATTGTGTATTTTTCTTACCATACCATATTGTACTTATGGTGATATTTTATGATCTATAGATGTCTGTCACTTGTCGTTGTCCACAATTGCTTCAAATGACATCTCGACTGTAATATATGGCCAAATGTGACAAAACCTGCTTGAGATACTCTTTGCATGAGGTATTGCACCCTAAGACATTGTATTATTTAACATAGTCATACAAGAAAATAACGTTTTGCAGATGTCTTCTGTTTTTTGTTGTTGGTTTCTTTTTCTTGTTTGTGTGTGTTGACTTTTTTGTTTGGTTTAGATTTTCGACACCAAAAAAATAATAAAGACGATATTACTTTAAAAGCAAAACACAAAAGGTTAAACCCCCTATCCTGCAACAGATAAGGGATGTATATATTCCAATAATTCGAACACATTTAGTCACCGCTTACGATCATGCGATGTATAGTATTTTATTTAGTGCATTTTTGTGGATTACTGATTTATCCGTGAAAATCTTATTCGATATATTCACAGTAAAAAATGCCATAATATGAATTCACACTTTTCAAAAAAAGGCTTCTTTTAAAAATTTTCCCTTTGCAGTACATCACTTTGATTAATTGTTTTATTTTCGGACCTATTTAGGTTTTTTTTTAGAGCAAAACAAAGCTGAAAATGATAATAAACTTAAATTTCAAACGTAATCAAAATGATAAATATTCAATTTACCAATCCCCTTATTCGTTTCTTCTGATTCGTGTCTACCTTTGATTTCCATACTAACAGTCCAATAATAACACTTCCTTCTTCAAGGAATCTTGATGACATTTGGGCATATTTAAGAATTCTACGAGCAATGAATGTGAAAACTGTGTAAAAGCAGACAGTAATCTGCTCGAAGGGTAAGAAAATAACCCAGCTTTTGTAAGACAACCTTTCAAAAGTGTTTATGTTTTCTCAATTCCTAATCACTTCTTAAATGTATACGTATGTGTCAATAATTAATTAATGTCTGTAAAAATTCCTTAGTGAATATTATTTCTTATGATAAATGTAGAATTATCAAACCCACATAAAATCACTTCTTATCAAACACATTTCTTTTTTTCATCCCTCGTTCGAAATTAACAACTTTTAAAAATGATGGTCGAGTGATACGGAACAATATATTCCGCCGTTTTATAAGTGTATAAAACAGAATTAAGTTCGACATTGAGTAACATTCGATACTTTTGAAATGTTTGTTTTAATAATTGAAACAAGCGATAATTAATGTCTTTCTGTGTTATTATTAATATCGTCACCATTTTACGTTGATTTTTGAACGTAGTTTTCAACTCAAAACTTCTTGTATTTAAAAGAAATTCGTATAAATTGAGGCTACCAGCGGGAAAAACAGATTTTAATTATCAAGTTAATATTGAGGAAATTTCATTTTAACTGTTTAAGCATAAAATAAAATTGAAATGTGCTTGTTTGTTATGTAAGTTGTAATCTATTTAATTTGGAGAACTTCAAAACCAGTATTCTCTATTGTTGTTCACCACTACGAGTTTCTTAAATCATGACTCTATGGTCAAAACTAGCAATTTTAATTTTAAATCTTAAGTCACAACATTTTGGTTAATTGTTTTGACTCATAGAGGGAAAAATCTTGTTAAATTATTCTTTTCACTTTAAGGATTACAGCTAATATATTTTGTCTCACATTTTCTAGTTAACTTTTATTTGTTAGTTGAATAAAGTTTGTTTGATGAACTCCATTGATTTTATATAAGCTATCAAGGGTCATGATAACCCTATTGTCCGCTTGTTACAATTAATGTCTAGTGTCCACAATATTCCGTACATCGTATGAACAAGCATTACCTCAATTTAGAAAAAATAGTTTAGTTTAAAGTGAGAAGTTCAAAGTTCATAATTTTAAAAAAAGTACTTTAAAAAAACTTGTCCGACCAAGAGCTTCGGTACGCGTTTGCAAATGGTCGTTTGTTATTGCCAACTCTACAATTTTCAGTTTATCATTCATAAGGTCACAATCACAATGAGTTTTGCTATAATAATCGTTGTCCTATCAATGACATTAGAAGTAAAAACAACAAGAGGTATTTTCAAAAGATACTCGGACGAGGTATGTACATGTTTCTTTCCCGGATCTTTTGCGTTATAGATAGTCTCTACATTTTAGAATGTCATTTATAACTGTTATATTCTTATTTTGATTAATATTAATGAAAATGAACTTGAAAGTTAATTTCCGATACTACTTTAGATTATATTTTGATCTGGACTTTACTTTTCAGAAAAATCCTTAAGATTGTTATACTAATTTAAGAATGGCCAATGATATTCCAGGATTTCAATTTTTGTAATTTAAATATGACATATGAAAATCATTCTTATATTCAGTTCTTCCCTTAAATTTTACAGGAAGTCAAACCAATCTGAGACGAACTTCGTCTGAATAATCTAAGTTGTACCTTTATTGAGAAATTAGATTTCGATGTCACAAGGTCAAAGTCACGTTGACGCATGAAATGTTTTTCTAATCAAGAACAAGAGTTGCCCTAGTCATAGGTATGTGAAATATTAGTAGTTATAATACATTTAAATGTATTATAAATATTACCTTTTAATATAACGCTTGACCTTTATAAGATATGTATAAGTATAAGTAAACATGCCACCGTGACTGTAATAATATATGGGAATAAGTTTACTGTGCACACATTTCTTGTTACAACCAATAAATGATTTATTGATAATCTGCAGCTTTTCACCCAATTAGTGTGGTTTTCTTATCAGCCTATCAAAGTTCAGTTTATAGTCTAATTGTCTAATGGGAAAAACCTCCGGATTAACCCGGAAGGCCCGAGTCCGTCATAAACTTTTTCAAGCGCATTGTTTTGAAAGCAGAACCGTAGTTAAAAGTTCATCAGAAATCTTTATGTTTAGATTTAAGCAGAAAAGCGGGGGTTTGACTTTGCAATATTTGTGTTTTAGACATATATAAAATGATATATGATGCTCATTTAGAATCCGGTATTTAGAAAGACATTGACAATAAAAAAATGACAATATTTACAAAATAAAACAAGTCAGCTAGTAGGATCATTGTTTTATTGTTAGCGTACGTACATCCTTATTACAATAAATCCTTTTTTTTGTTTAAACAATAAATATATAAAAAACATATAAAAAAAACCAATAAATAATGAAAAAGAACCAAACAAAAAAAAACCGCACTATACTTCATCAGGGTGAGTCGTACCCTTCAATTTGTATGTTTTGTCCAATACATTTTGCTTTCAAACTATAAAAACATTTGCACACAGAAAAACACAAAAATGTATTGCAAAGTATCAATCAAAGTTATTAAATACCAATTCTAATATGTTTTGCCTGAAAAGAATCTTAAGCCTAGGGGACATTATTTAAGTCCTAATCATTTTCAGTGACTACGTTTGCCACTGTTCTAGCAAGGGTTTTTCTTTTTCCTTTTATGATTCAACGAAAGTAAAATGCCTGTTGGAACAAACTGTTTTGGAAATTAGGTCGTAGTTTTGTAACAAAAAATATGATATTCAGTACATTGCTACACACTTTTAGATTCAGCTCCACTTTTCGAATAATAAAGTTGAGCTATTGCCAAGACCCTTCGTTGGCACCGCCCTTGATTTCAACTTTCATTTAGATCCGTTTTTTTCAAGAAAATGTAAAAGGTATTCAATTCTTACTTAGTATAAATTTTTAATGTCATAAAAGAACGTCTTAAAAGGGAAAAATATTACTTAAAATATCAAATGCAAAGTTATGCCCCCCTTATCAAATAGTGCTTTTATACTGCATGTTAATGCCCATTTTCTCAGAATTTCAAAAATATTTTTATAATGTACTCATCATTCAGTTAAGTATTTTAATCACGGAAATTTATTAAAATCTATAAAATTATCAGTCAATATGCCTACTAGTAATTTGAATTAAAGAATGAATATACTATGTTTCGGGACTGTTCCGTATTACAGGTCAAGTTAAGTTGGTCCTTTATTAACAAAAACCTGCTATTTATTATAATGACACTATATTTTCACATTGTGACCAACTATAGTGTCGTAGAGTTTTTAAAATACATATCTACTTCATGTGAAGACAAAACATGTTTTTCCCCATTTACAAAGAGTCTTTGTAGCAATTATCAATATTCACTAACATAAAAATTTGAGAATAGTTGTAATTCTTTAAAGTTGTTCACTTCAGATTTGAAAAATATGTTAACTATCCAAATCTGACATTATTTCAAAAGGGCAGGTAGTCTTTAAATTTAGTTTTGCAAAGTTATGCCCATATGTTTATTGAATTTCTTTGTCTCCAAAACATCTGGAAAATAATTGTTCAACTTTAAAATTGATATGCAAATTTTAATAACAGATAAAGTAATAAATGTCTTAATTAGTTATGATCCCATTTTGCTTTGATTTCTTAGTTAATTTTTGTAAAGGTGAAGTTTCCAAAAAAACGTCAAAGATTTTCAATCAAAGCTTAAGATACTTGCTCAATTTGAAATTTGAAATGTATTTCTAAGTAACAGATAATCCTGAAAGGCATTTTTGCTTAATTACTCTCCTTTTTGAGTTAGAGTATTTGCCCATTTTCTCGAAAACCGTGAAAGGTATTAACTTTAAACTTGAAAAATATGTCATCAAGGACAGGTAAGTCTTATAAGCTTTTGAATAAATTTACGCCATTTTCTTTGTTGTTCAGAGCTTGGAAAAATGGAGCGATATAATAAAATATAGTAAAGCCCCAAACGCCTTTTAGTAGCAAGAGAGATTACAATGCAAATAAACTTTGTAAAGTTATAGAAACAACAGCCAATAAACAATCTATATTTCAAAGTGTCTTCGTAACTAAGCTATCATCAGGACGGCAACATAAGTGCTCGTTATCAATTTGCATAAAAAATTTTGATAAGCGTAGTTTTACAGATTGTAAATTAATGTTCAGATTTAAAAAATGCTGATTAAAAAAGTAGATTACTAAAACTAAAATTATATAACAATAAAAGAGGGCCAAAATGGCCCTAGATCGCTCCCTTGACCCATCAACCACATCCGAGCAATGTCTTAGACAATCATCCTGGCCGAGTTTGATGACAATTGAGTCAAAAATGTGACCTCTAATGTGTTAACAAGGTTTTCCATATTTAGGCAGTGTGACCTAGCTTTGACCCCAGATGACCCATATTGGACTTGACCTCCTAGAAATCATTAAAACAAACTAGCAGACCAATTTCCAGGATATTTGGATAACAACAGTAGCGACTAGAGTGTTAAAATGATTGTCTATTTTAGCTCCTGTGACCTATTTGTTCATCAGAGATACCCATATTTCCATATTTGAACTCCTCCAAGCAATTAACTAGACAAGCATCCTGAATAAGTTTGGTGACAATTGAGTTAGAAGGTTACCATTAGAGTATTAACAAGGTTTTTCCATATTTGGGCAATGTGACATTGTTTTTGACTCCATGTAATCCAAAATCAAACTTGACCTAGAAATCATCAAAACTACCCTCCTAATCAATTTCCAATATATTTTGATCAAAACTGCAGCCAATAGAGTGTTAACAAGAGTTTTCTATTTCAAGCCCCTGCGACATAGATTTTGACCGGAGACAACGTATATTTAAATATAGAAATCATCAAAACAACCTACTGACAAATTTCCAAATTATTTGGATAAAAACTGCAGCCACTATAGTGTTTACAAGCTTTTTCTTTTTTTTAGAACTTGTGACCTAGTTTTTGACCGGAGATGACCCATATTAAACCTCATGGACCTCAACCTTCCGGACCGATTTCCAGTAAATTTGGATCATAACTGCAGCCACTAGTGTTAACAAGCTTTTTCTATTTTTAGCTCCTGTGATCTTGTTTTTAAACCGAGAAGATCCATCTCCTAGCTTGACCTAGAAATCATCAAAACAACATTCCTGACAAATTTCTAGAATATTTGGATCAAAACTGCAGCCACTAGAGTGTTCACAAGATTTTCATTTTTTAAAGCTCCTGTGACCTAGTTTTTGATCGGAGATGACACATATTCGAACTTGTCCTAGAATTACTAAAACAACCTATCTGATCGATTTCCAGGAACTTTTGATCAAAACTGCAGCCATTAAAGTATTAACAAGCTTTATCTAATTTTAGCTCCTGTCACATAGTTTTTGACCAGAGATGACCCATCTTCGAAATTGACTTGTATTTCTTTGAGACAAACATTTCTGACAAAGTTTGATGATAATTCAATCAAAACTGCTAAATTGATAACAACCAAATAGTTGACGACGAACACCGCAAGACGCACTACGCACGACGCACGACGACGGATGCCGGACATAGCCCCATCACTTTACCTCACCTTGATCACTTCGTGGCCAGGTGAGCTTAAAAAGAACAACAGAACATAAATGACAAATTACTATTAAAGTAATATCAAATATCTATGGAATTATTACAAACAAACAACAATATCAACAACAACAACAACAACAACAACAGCATTATTACCAATACAAATAAAAGATCAAATTTATATAAATTCAAATTACACAAAATTGAAAACATTTTAAGAAAAGAAAACTGCAATTTAATGTTGGTTAACTGTCTTTCTAGCAATTACTAACATCATAATTACGTATAATGTTTCTCTGACCACCTGTATAGGAAGTGTTTCTTTGATAATCTTTACAAAGATTATTTTTTACAACATCTATGACAAAATTTCACGTTATATTTTTTTAAACATAGTTATTTATTAAACTTAACTGTCACAACAGCTTCAATTAATTTTTAATCATCCCTTTCAAGTTCGTTTTTTGAAATAATCAATATAAATGCCAAATTATTATGCATGTTTCTGATCAGGGCTCGATTCCATGATACACAATGACTGAGAAGCGCACAAATTACCCACTAGGTTAACTCTTCCTTCACAAAATATCACTAAACAATTACTAAAACAACACTGATTACAACAGGTCATAGAAATTGATCAATGATTTAATTAAAGTGATTGAAATATGTTAATTAAAATTAATATTAACAACATTTTTAAGTTACAAAAGAAACATTATAACGAATACAATTAAAATAAAAAAGAGTCAAGTATTATAGATAACGGGTTATCTGGTCGTCAATGGCAATAATATTATTAAAACAGTTACTAAAAATTGATAAAAACATGGTCAAAGTCAAGACATTTATAAGATTAAATATTATATAAATAATTGATAAGAAAAAGAATATCATTATACAAGTTAATATCAACCATCAACGACACAAAAACAACAAACAAACAACAATAATGGAAAACAACAACAGCAAACCTTAAATATAAGCAACGATTTGTCACTATATGAAATTTTAACGACTTCGAGAAAATAGAAATAGATTAATAATTGAATGTATGTGATTGAAATATCTTAATTAAAAAAAATGTTGACAACATGATACATTTAAAGAAACCAGAAAACATCATAATGAATACAATTAAAATACAAAATGTATCAAGAATTATAGATAACGGGTTATCTGGTCGTCAATGACAATAATATTTTTATAACAGTTACTAAAAATTGATAAAAAAACATGGTCAAACTAAAGACATTTATAAGATGAAATATTATATAAATAATTGATAAGAAAAAGAATATCATTATACAAGTTAATATCAACCATCAACGACACAAAAACAACAAACAAACAACAATAATGAAAAACAACAACAACAAACGTTAAATATAAGCAACGATTTGTCACTGTATGAAATTTTAACGACTTCGAGAAAATAGAAATAGATTAATGATTGAATATATGTGATTGAAATATCTTAATTAAAATAGATGATAACAACATGATACATTTAAAGAAAACATCATAATGAATACGCTCAAAATAAAAGATGACTTAATACTAAAGTATTATAGATAACGGGTTATCTGGTTGTCAATTAAAACATTTTCTAAAAATTGATAAAAAACATGGTCAAAGTCAAGACATTTATTAAGAATAATTAATATAGAAAATTAATTACACAAGCTAATATCAACCACCACCATCAACAACAAAAAAAAAAACAACAACAACAAAAATCCCGTTAAATTTAAGCAACTATTTGTCACTGCATGAAATATAAACGACGACGAGAAAATTTATTGAACATATATGTAAACTGAATAGACAAAACATGACTTCACCAATTCTTACACAACTAAACAGACACACTCTTCAGTTTGCCCGCTGTAGTAAATCTAGCTCACACTTAAATACGAGTAAAAGATGTGTCACTAAACTAAGTCACAAATAGTAAACACCACTGTTTTGCGTTTCTTTTCACATCACATCTTCAAATTCTTATCACATTTTGAAACAAGTTTTCGAAGAAGTTTTCCATATTGGAACATATTTTCCTGTATAGCTCTTTCATCGGCAGCTATCGTAGATTTTGCATCTATTACAACAATTGGATATTTAGCCTATGGATAAAAAATGATCAATTGTATTAATCAAGCCTGAAGGAGCTGAACCCGTAACCTGTCCCAAGTAAGATTGTTTCGGGAATACTCTATTAAACCATCATATTAGATCGATTTGTGTATTTAGTATAAAAATGTTAGTTCATGGAATTTATATATAGTTAAATTCTCACTTTTCATTTAAACTATGTGTTTTGTTTTCCCTTTTATCCTTATGAGCCGTGACCTAGACTGTATTTTAAAATACATAAATTTCTGATAAAGAGTGATATAATAATTTGACGATTAGGTATATACCTTTGTTATGTAAACATTCGTCTCACATATCTCGTCTATGACAATGAAAGACTCTTGTAATAGAGAAAGATATTCGGCAAGTTGTTTGGATACTGCTGCAACAATACTGACTGACAAACATCTATCGTCATTGAGTATGCCTTGGATACATCGCATTGTTCCTACTGGCACAACTTCTTGTTTCATGCGGACAGATCTGCTAAATTTCTGATATCTTAAAATGGCGCTGCCAATTTCTGCAAACAAATATTAAACGGTACATTACTGTAAATGATTTATACCAGAAATAAACAAATATATAAAATATATATACAGGTATAATTTATCAAGACCAAATTTTCAATCAAATTTCAGATGTGATACACAGTGAGCTGCATTGTAAGGTATTGCAATAAAAACACTTTCGAGTATAACATATAAACAAGTTATCGCAATTGCAATTAATATTAATAACATCAAACTAGCGTCACTTATACGTGATACGGTCATTTAGAAAATAGCAATTATTAATCTTTTGAACCGTGTAGTAGAGTAGTTACTAAGTATGCAAAAATGTTTTATGTTCTGAAGCAAACGTCGCACGGCTTGGTGTGTACAAACAATAAAGTTTACACAGACATGAGACGATATTTCGTTCTAAATAAAAAACCTTGAGAAAACATTCATTGTCTTAAGGGAAATCTTATCGCTTACTATTATCGTAGCTCTGGACAATATCAATATGTTTAAAAGATTATATTGACATTGATATATTGAGTGTGATATTTTGACACCGTGAGCAAAATGAATATTTAAGGTTAAACGATTTGATATAAAATATATGTCATTGACAATTGGTCTATGTGAAATTGTTACTTGACAGTGAAACAAAACAAAAGACTACAGTAGTGTTTATTGTTTACCTTTCTGGACCATTGTTCGACTCTGCTCATCAATGCTTGGATTAAAACTCTAAAAATAAAAAAGAGGAAAAAGTTTCCTGATACTTTAAAATATTCTCGTTCATAAAGAGATTAAAAAAAAGCTATGGCACCAAACTCTGGATGTTCCTTTTTAAATTCAATATTTGACCATTTTAGGTTTCAGTATTGAATTCAGCTTAAGCCGGTGCTTGGGATGTATACGGTAGCTCGCGTTAACTAAAATTGTCAATGAACCTGGGTCAGTTAAACCAAGACTACAACATTTTTAATTTTGCCGTATCGGGCGTACTTTAGGAATCCCCCTTTCCTTTTTTCTTGGCGCTCATTGTTTTTTATGCTTAATAGTACGAGGAACGTTAATATTATTTGGTTACTTGTGCGTTTTCATAGCTTCCAAAGCATTTGATTGAAGGATCGAATGGCCGTTGCAATGAATAAAACATAAAATAGTGAATTGTGCCTGGTAAATAGGGCTCTTTTGGTGTATTAAAAACAAACGGTTCAGACGCTACAAGAAATTTAAGGCAGAGTAAATGTTTAAGTTCTAATTAAATCATTTGCCAGACTTACAGTAGAAAAAACAACTGGTTTATCAAATAGGCTGGGTCATTTCATAAAATATTGTAAAAAGATTTACAAGTCACCTATGTTTCGCTCGATGGTCCAAAACGCTTCAGGTGCACAAATAACCAAATGTGTTTCAATTAAGTAATTTGTATCATATTGCTTATACGAGATTAAATCATGAGACAATATATTATTCATCACCTATCATGAGCAGTGATAGCAAAAAATTAATACACCTTAACAATTATCAAAAGAATTTATCCAAAATATCCAAGTTTTTAAACAAATATTTTTAAGAGAGAATTTTAATCTATGTAAATCAAATGATCCCAGAGCAGGAGCAATTTTAGTTGTAGGGCATAATTTACATGAATGTAGAAGATGACAATATATAATGATACGCTCCAGATATCTAAGCTCAAAATAAAGCAGTTGTAAAGGTTTTTATTACTTTTTTCTGTCTCTAATTTTGCTGTTGTAATCTACATCCAGAGTAAAACTATTATATAACATTTCAGAAGGCCGCCTAAAACTCATTCCTATTCGGATTTGTCAAAATCCACTTTGTAGTATAGGTGATGTTGTAAGAAAATTGAGAACGACGAATGAAGGACTCACAAAAGCTCCAGAAGTCAACAGAACTAAAATTCAGCAAAATCTTCACTCATTATCCATGTGTTAGACTAGAGAAATATCGATATCCAACTTCACTTCCCCTTTGAATAAGTATTATCCCATACCATAATGTTAAAACTTTCTCTAATAAACCAACCTCGATCCTAACCTGTATATATTGAGCTTTTGTTATTATTGGTGCACCAGGCTAAAACCATTTATATTAAGGAAGTCTAACGGTTACTTTTGTGAATTGTCGTCACAGTCTACCATCTGGTTAAGGCGGAATTCATATTTGAAATAGAATGAAGACAACGACGAATCATGCGTGTCCAATATCATAATTTCAATGTAAATATCAGCGAGAAAGCAAAACATTATTCTAAATTACCTTCTTTCCGAGTATTGCCGACAGCGTATACAGAAATGGGTTGAGGGCAGAGTTAATTGGTAATACAAAAATGGCTGTCCATGCATATACATCGCTCGGAATTGCAAATCCAATTAATGACAAGATACCTGAAGAAGAAAATATTGTTATTTGCCAGTTTTGTGTAAATTGGATTGAACAGACCGGACGGTGTGAGGCAAATTATTTTAGTAAACAGACCCTTCAATATTTCACAAAATATGTCAGGAAAATATATCTTAAGAAGTTTCGTTTTTTAATACTGTACTCGAATGAAGAAAACACATATATGATTATCTAGATTAAATTGTATAAAAAGTCTTACACTTAGCACTGTGTAAGTTAAAGATTCGTTATAAGATATTATTCATTTATCGCAATGACGACTTTGAAAATGTATGTTCATACCAATTTATGATTTATATGAGACCTTACCCATCACCCCTATCGGAAACCAACATAGAAAATCAGTTGTTGCAACAAGAATAAGATTCCTAGCAACTTTCAAATCACGTTTTCTTGATTGCTGTGTTTTCTTCATAACTGATGCCCGTCGAAGTTCTTTGAATATAGCTAACTGTCCTACAGCGACTAGAATAAAAGTGCAGAAATTTAAACCAACGAAAATTGACACGGAATACATCCATCCCGGAGGTTTATCTCGCGTCAAAGGCAGTGCAATGCATACCCCTGTTTTAGAGTAAAATTGGTTTTTGAAGTGACTTGTGTAAAGAATTGGAATGATTGACAGTGTTATGGAAATAAACCAGCATATTCCGCAGCAAATATAAGCCTTCGTAGGTCTAAACCTCACTGTGCCAAATGGAAACTTGATCACTAATAGTCTGTCTAAGGTTATGAAACAAAGAAAGAAAACGCTGGCTTCAGACGAAACTGTAGACAGAATCCCTGCGGTAACACACCAATTACTGTTTCTCCAATAATCATCCACAGAAGTGTATCTGAAAATAAATTGAACCGTACTTTTTAGTTTTAGGGGTGATTTTTTTGCAATATTGTGTTTTCTTTCTTGGAATTTAATTATTTGAATTCATTTGTAATCATAATATCATTTCTTTTTAACGTGGCGAGTTAATATAGATCGAAGCCAATATTGTTATTTCAAAATTCATTGATAAAAAGTATTACATAATTTTTCTGACACTTTTACATTTTTTATATCCATGCAAAAGGCATATATGTACATGGACTGTACATTTAAAAATGTTTTTTATATGTACGTGGTGATATACTTTCAAAACAAAAAGAACTACAAGTGTCATATCAAGACAATACATTCTAAATAATAGTAAATTCGCGCTACAAAACTACTTCATGGCATATCAGTTTTCGGTAAATTAGCATTTGCGTAGGACAAATTACTCTGAGTCTGTCATACATATATACTGTCATATATAGGTAGTATTTTTGTAGACTACATATCGATATTTATATCTTTCGCTGAACATCTTTTAAAAAGAAAATAAGAAATATGCATTGCGGAAAAGATTCATAGGAAACAGTATCTGGAATTTGCGTACAAATTACTGTTAAAGTCAGTACCTGTTTTGTTTTAAGAGAAATTTTGAAGCAACCAATGACCCATATTTGTTGAGTGAATCAATAACAATGACTTTCTTGTTACTATAGAGATAGGTAGTTCAGAATCAGTTATTAACCCTTTCACTACCATAGGGACGGCTTATGCCGTCCCTGTAATTTTCGGCGTTTTTGCCATATGGACGGCTTTTGCCGTTTCTATAATAATCATAATAATAATAATAAATTAATAATAATAATAAAAATAATAATAAATATAAAGAAAATTATACGATCGAAAATCATTATTATTATACTAGCATATTTGGAAACATATATAATTATCATAATACTAATAACAAATAATGATAATCATTACATTAATTAATAAAATTGTAATTTCTTAGAAAACCCTCTGGCAAATAGATGATAAATAAAACAATAACCCTCTGGCAGCGAAATGGTTAAATGTAGGTTTCATGCATAAATGAATACCTGTTTCTATAGTATGAATCAGCAACTGCTATCATTATCAGGTACACACCCATCAGGAAATCTGCAACTGCAAGGTTAGTGACAAATATGCCATAACCTATCTTTAGCCTTTCGCGATCAAAGACAAGACGGTAGATGATTGAAGATAGATTTCCGCATAATGAAGCTATTCCAACTATCCAAAGAACTGCTTGAAGTACTGAGTTTCTTATCAGGTCTTCACATGAAGAAAACTCATTCCTTAAAGGTGTGCACTCTTCTTCAGACACATAGCAAGGGCGGATACAACAGAATTTAAATGCAGGTGTATGAAGCTTTTGAAGGGACGTTACACCGTTGAACATTAGTTTTTCAAACTTTAACACATTATTTCCTTCAAAATTAATTTTACTGACTTTGGAATTCTTGAAGGCATCATTTTCAATCTCCTCAATTTTGTTGTAAGAAATATCTATACTGTCTAAATGTAAGTCAGAAAATGTAAACGAGCTTATCTTTTTCAATTTTGTGCCTGTTATTTTTATGTTTCTTAATGCTATTAGACCTGTAAAAGCTGTCGGAGAAATTTCTGTCAATTCGAAGTTCCGATCAAGATTCAAGTGGGTAAGATAACGGAGCATGCCAAAGACCATATCAGGTAAGAGTTGTATTTTGTTGCCACTAAGATCCAACGAAAACAGATATTGTAAATTTACGAAATTCTTTTTATCAATATGACGAATGTCACACGATGAAATGTTGAGATAACGGAGCTCGCTAAACACAACTGGTAACTGCTGTATTCTATTGTTACTAAGATCTAACACCACCAATTTTTTTAAGTAAAAGAAAGTTTTGTTGTCAATATGATGAATGTCACACGACGAAATATTTAAACGTAACATGTAATGAAAATTTAAATGGTTTTCGTGTATGTCTTTAATTGTTGGGTTTTTACTTAGATCAAGACTTCTGACATATTTTGTCAGTGATGATAAATCGGACATATAAATGTTGGCCGCCCTACAATTAATAACATCACCAACACATTTACATTTCTGGGGACACACCGAGTTACACAGCCTTTCATCGTCACCATTTTTACAATGCACCACATTGTCACACACGTGCTCAAATGGTATACATTGTTTACTAGAAGAACATCTGAACTTCCCAGCACATGGAACGTATGCAGCCTCTGAAAAGATCACAGATGACAATTGTTTACAGAAAACTACAAACTTTTTTTTTAAATGATCAACAAAGTTTTCATCTTAAGATATAACCCACGTTATGCATTACCTCCGATTTGAAGAGTATTCAAAAAGCTAGAATTACTTTCAACTTCATTGAAACTAAGGGATTCGTAGAAAGAGGTTCAATAATGTTTTGTTAAACGTTAGTTAAATTCAGTCTCAAAAATCCCTTTTGGACAAAAAAGTGTTAAATTTTAATTTCATAATTATAATAGTTGGTTAAATTAAGCTGAAAAACTTTAAGTTAAACACGAAATGTCGATCGACACATATGCTCCACTTGTTAGCCATTGACTTATTTAATTGATAATTTTGATAAAGAAATGTGCAATTAATGGATTCTTGGGAGTTTTCAGTTATGGAAAAAATATATCCTACTAGTTATAACTAATCAATATTCGAAATATAAAGACCTTGACCTTTGAACTAGTGACCCCATTATGACTAATCAATATTTAAATATGAAGACATTTGAAAACATTTCAAGATAATCAGCGGATTTAAGGACGCTGTGAAATATATAGGAGTATTCTACTACATATGACTATTCAATATGTGAAATATGAAGACTGTGATAAAAAATTTCAAGATGATGAGCGGAAACCATTCTGACATTTAAGGCACCCGTGACCTTGACTTTTGACCTGGTTATCCCAAAATCAATATGGATCATCTTCTAGTTATGACCAATCAAAATGTGAAATATTAAAACTTTCTGACAAGTAGTTTTCAAAATAGCAAAGTAAAAAACATTCTAACATTAAGGCCCATGTGCCCTGGACCTTTGATATAATGAAACAAAAATAAATAGGGGTCATGTATTTGTAATCATGACCAATCACTATATGAAATATGAAGACTTTGTGATAAATACCTTTCAAGACAATAAGCGCACACTATATTACTATTCAATGCCCCTGTGATCTTGACCTTTGATTTAGCTACTTCAAAATCAATAGAAGTCATCTACTAAATATGTCCACTCTATTTGAAAGATGAAATTGTTGTGGTAAATAGTTTTTAAGATGATAATCGGGAACCATTCTGTTATTAAAGGCCCATATGAACTTTACTTTTGTACTTAAGACCCACAAATCAATAGGGGTCATCTAACAAGATACGATCAATCAGTGTGTGAAATATGAAGACTTGTGATAAATAGCTTTGAAGATATTAATTGGAAACCTTTCTAACATTTAAAGCCCCTGTGAACTTGACATTTGAGCTAGTGACCTCAAAATCAAAAGAGGCCATGTACTAACTTTGACCAATCATTATGTAAAATATGAAGACTATGTGATAAATAGCTTTCAAGATAATGAGCGGAAACCATATTGCCATTCAAGGCCCCCTTGACCTTGACCATTGATATAGTGACAGATAAATCTATAGGAGTCCTTTTCTAGTTATGACCAATCAATATGTGGAATATAAAGACTTTATTGTAAATGGTTTTCAAGATAATGAGTGGAAACCATTCTGACATTAAAGGTCACTGTAACCTTAACCTTTGACCTAGATTCCCCAAAATCATAGAGATGATCTATTTATCTCTCTCTCTCTAGTTATAATATAGAAACTTTTTTTTAAAGATACTTAATTGAAACAATTCTGACATTAAAGTCACATATAACTTAGACCTTTGACTGACTTTCCCCAAAATCAATAGCGACCAACCGCTAGTAAGGGCGAATCAGTATGTGAAATATGAAGTTTGTGATAAATAGTTTTCAAAATAATAAGCGAAAACAATTCTGACATTTCAAGCCCCTGTGAGTTTGACCTTTGATCAAGTGACCCCAAAATCAAAAGGGGTCCATGTAAAAGTTATGAAAAATCACTATATGAAATTTGAAAACTTTGTGGTAAAATAGCTTTTGAGATAATGAACGGAAACCACATAACCATTTTAGGTCCCCCTGACCTTGACCTTTGACCTAGTAACCCTAAATTCAATAGGGGTTTAGTTATGACCTATCAAGATTTTGACATGCAGTTTTCGTGATAAATGGTTTTCAAGATAATGAGCGGTAATCATTCTGACATTTAAGGCCCCTTTGACCTTGAATTTTGTCCTAGTAACCACAAAATCAATATTGGTCATTACTATGTGTCCAATCAGTGCACGAAATATGAAGACGTTTTGATAAATAGTTTTGAAGATAATGAGCGGAAGTTATTCTGACATTTAAGGGAACTGTGACTATGACCTAGTGACCCCAAAAACAATATGGGTTATCTACTAGTTGAGAGCAAAAAGTATCTGAATATGAACACTTTGTAATAAATAGTTTTTTATTATAATCAGCGGAAACCATGTGGTCTACTGACGGACAGGCGAACTGACCGACGGACCAGCAAAACAATATACCCCCTCTTCTTCTGAGTAGGCATAATAACAAATATTCTATAAATTAGGCTCTCGAAGTAGGAAAACTGTCAAACAAGGGTTTAAATTGGTTAGCGTAAACTATGAATATCTCAATCATTTTGCAAAGAAACAATCATTTTGCTTGTGTCATTTGTTAGCTAAATGATATTATTTGTTGTTTTTTTTAAACAATAATCAATAGAAAAAACATTTATCTTGAGGATGATAATTATTAAAGATTATACAAATATTTGTCATTCTGATAAGGAGTATGTCTAATATCCGAACTTTATTAGAAGTATATGTAACTTGTAAACCGTAAGCAAATGTTGCATACAGGTGACCTTAAAGGTATATACCTGACCTATGTTGTCAATTGTTTGTTCCTTATAGTACCCCTTAACATACCTTAATTGCTTCAATTACTCAATTTTCTTCGTATGTCCACAATTAAATATGTATACATCCAATATATTTCTTTTTATAACTGCAGGTGGGTCTAAATGTATTTACTAATTACTTAAAAAATAGTTCATCTCTTTCACTCACCTGTACATATTTCTGGAAATCTTCTGAATCCTGTCCAATACAGAGACTTCCATTTACTGATATGAATATCTTTTACAAATTTGTATTTATCATCCTCGTAAAGGGAAGAACTGAAATCTTTAATCACCCGATATACTAAAAACTCTGGCTGTGAGAGATTGGACAATGCTAAGCTGGAAACAACTGCTGATTCATTACTATTCTCAAGCACAATAATACCTCTTTTTTCTGATTTGGTAAAGCGCAGCCTTTTAAGAAAATCTCTTGCCATTGTTGTATACTTGCATTCATTTTTTTGTAATTGATTTACACGTTCTTCTCGTATTTCCAACAACCTAAATGTAATGTCAAAATCCACTGATATATTCAGACTCCTAAAAAAAAATAATCTCACAAGACTATCCTTAACGTTTGTAAAAAATTGTTTAGCTAAATGAACTGCTGTTTCTCCGCTTTCAGGGTCTCCATCTTCCACAAATAAGATAACTTCTCTATCCGAATCTTGACAGGCTGAAATAAAAATTCCAATAAAATTAAACGTGTTAAATTTATTTATTTAGTGGATGCTGGGTAGTCAAAGCTTGTAGAGGGGTAGAAGCGGTCAAACCATGAGTTATAAACACACTTAAAATAATATAAAACAAAATGAATATTCAAAGATTAAGACTTATGAGTCCTTGTTACCTTCATTTGTCTCCGAAAAGTCATTTATAAATAAAGGTTTAAACGCAACAACATCGAGGTTTTTTGTTAGTTTACACGAGCAGTATGTTTTGCAGATTTACCTACAGGCCTTTTGAGATGTATAAATCAAGCAAACGGATTGTAACATGCAATTTCATTGGTTACACATTAAGATAAAAACACAATGTTTCATACTGCTACGCCGAACAAATTTAGGACCAAACTATTTATTTTAAAAATATGAAAAATACAATAAGACTCTTGGAGATTAAGAGGACCATTTAATTGTGTGTGAGTGAATATACAGGACGGGCAGGCGTACAAAGGAGCACATCTGTTCTTCAGCGTTGTGGAGCACAACACAATTTAACTATTTTGTAAGTATATCTTTTGTAAAAAGAATATTCTGAGCTATTAACATATGTGATAATTATCAAAAACTTTTGATAAAGACTAATTCCAGATAAATAAACATAACGTTACTGTACCGTTTCTAAAGGTAAGAATACATTACATCAAGTTTTAGATACCAAGAATTAAGCACACTAAACTTTATTTAAAGTGTTTTTAACTCTACGATATAACATTACAAGTGAGCATGGAAAACTTTATCTCTGTGTGCTATAATTAACATATAAAAACATACATAGGAACAATGACGAGGCCCGTATACTTAAGGAACTACCTGCAGCTACAAACAGGAGTGTCGAACTTAATGAAAAGTAATTGTTTGAAGTCATTATCCAATCATTTGTTTATTGCCGCCGACGTCCTATAGAGTGCAAAATGCATTAGTTTGAGAAAAAATTAAACGAAAAATGTTTATCCACTAAACGCCGCAAGATATCAGCAACGTTTGAAATCAGAAATGACTGCGATCTCTAATTCCTTTATATTTTGTAAGAATATATTGGACTTCCATCCATTTATATGAATTTTTTAAAGAAAAGCTTGGTGAAAGTTTCAATAAAATCATTAAATTACAAATTGCCATACTTGATTTTTGTTCCTGTAATTTTCTACTAAATATAATACTACGACCCTGAATACATTTAGTTATGAAAAAATGTTTCCGAGGAATTTAAAGATAATCATAAATATGCAAGTAAATAGATTTCATGAGAACGTTTTTTATTTTATAAACAGGATATTCTTCTGGTAAGTCTTTTAAAACACAGATAATACTGTCAGAGAAAATACATCGATAAATGGTAATAACAGAGTAACCTTCCTTAGAAACATATATAGATAAGGATTTTGAATGATAAATGACAATATGTGAACTTAACAGTTAACATATTCTGAGGAAGCCTTAACATCGGTTTTCTGAACGTCTCCTCATTACTTTCAACAGTCTTGCAAAGTAGTTTCCATTTCCTTAATACGTTAGAAAATACAGAGCGGATACAAAATTGCTAAGGAACGGACAACCAGGGGTATAACATTATACGTCCGAAATTTTTAAGGAAAAGCTATTTAAAAGACACAATAAAAATGGTTTTTAATTAAGTAATTACAAATCTTGATCACTTACTACAATCTTGTTCGTCTTCTCCCCCAGGACATTCAATATGTCCATCACAGAGAAATCCCTGTTCAATGCAGTAACTGCCTGGACATTTGACTGTATTTTCAGGGCAAAGGAATTTTTCTGAAAACGAAATTTTGGAATTTCAAGCAATTACCTTTGGTCGTGACATTTATAATAGTTCTAGATGACTAAAAATGTTTTCACTATTTTTAACTGGAACATGATTACAGGACAGCTTGTTTTTAGACTATTAAAGTTGTGATACATGATAATACTACACATTTCAAGCATTGTTAATACCTTATCATTAAATAAGGAGTTTTGGCTATCGGACACAAATTTAAATAAAGAAAGTAATTTGCCAGTCATTTTAAAGAACCCGAGGAAGGCTGAAACTTCGCTATTAATAATGCTCACGCTTTCCTTAAGACACCATACAGGAAATGAAAAACAATTTGGTTGAATCAACTATCAAAACTCAAAAATCCTAATGGCTAGGTAACTTACAAATAAAAGAAAAAAATGGAGAGAAAAGTAATGATATCAATCACATAAACCACGGCAAATGAGTGAAATAACGCCATTTTATACGATATTACCCTATTGTAATAACACTTTGACGTGACGTTATTTTTGCATTTTATACTAACATAGAGTCAAATCACGCTAATGCTAACGCAAGGATCAGAGGGGATTATTTTAAAAGAAGAGGTCGCAAAAATTTGACAAGGGATACTGCATATTCCCAGGGGTACAGGGAATTGTGTGCGGGACAGATGACATTTTACTCGTTTGTCTAAATTTTGACAATTTTATTATTTCTAAGTTGTCAAATACTAAAAATAAAATCAAAATTTGAACACATAAACGACTTCCTGAGAAATTCATTGGAATGAAACGAATAAAAGAATAGATTTTCAGTGGTAATTTTAAGTCCTTTAAAAAGCAAAGACACCTGTTCCTATAAACCAAGATTCAGATATTGCCCATATTTCAAGCTGTCAAGAACACACCTGAATTGGAAAGTACATGCTCGCAGTGCCACCGTAGGGAACGTGTTTCAGGTTCGCGTTTTCCGGTAACTGTAAAGACTTCTCAAGATAGAAGATTATTTCAGGCCATATATTGATAAAATTTATATTTTTTCTATTTGTTCTTAACCTTTAACCTCATAAAGACGTGTTTTGTTGGCTTTTCATTACCCTCTTTTAAGGCCTCTAAAATGTCTTACTTAGACCAAAACATTTGTTTTCGTTTTGAAAAATGTTGTAAAAAACGTGATCACTTTATATAAAAAAGGTACAATAAGGGAGTGCTAGAAGGGTATGTGTCCCTTTCTCTTATGTGCTTTGGGCTTGACAGGAGTCGGTCTTATCGTATTGTGTAACCAACACTGCAAGGCCACTGACTTTATCTATATCTTTTGAAAATTTGCAGAACTTTGAAATAAGTTTTGATGGAAAATTCAACGTAAAGTGAGTTTTGAAAATTTTTACATACCATGGTAACAAGAAAGATTAAGCATGCTGTTACAAAGGCTTTGTTACAGTCAACATTTGTGGCAAGTTTGATCAGTATTGAAGCATTTTTCATAGTTTCATAGCAGCTTGAACTTGTAACAGGAGGTTTGCATTGAAAACAGCCACTTTTTACAGTCAATATGCTTATGCAGTAATAAAATAATGTTTTCAATCATTTGTATCATTCTTGTAAGACTCTTCAAAACTTAAAATACGTTTTCAGTTTTAATTATGATTTAGCATTTTTTTATTCATCACCGTCAACGTTTTTATCATTGCTTGAAATAATGATAAGTTTCTTGCTGTGACAGCATCGTGTATTTTATTTGTGTTTAATCTATGACAAACGATATACATATGGTTTAAAGATGAACTTTGACTATGAATCTTAATATTAACGATACTTTATTAAGTTATAGAAAATATCGTGTTTTGCTTATTTTAGAAATATAATCATATGGTAACTAGTGATTTGATATTTATTTGAATTACCACAATTTTGTAAATGGTCACCAGATCTACATCCAGTCATGTAACCGTTTGCACCAACGGAATAAATACAGACCATCGACTCTGGTATGATTTTGTTATCTCTTTCACATTTAAACCAATCACCAAACACGCTTGCGTTGTAATCTTAAATAAAATAAATCCAAATTTATCATGAATAGTAAAAATGAAATCAAAACGACTAGTAAAGTATATGCAATTTATTGATGTAGAATTATTATTCAGAAAAACATGCCATATGTCACAGAGGTACAGGGCTTAGAAAAGATCGACACACTCACGGACAAGCGCACTACCTATTGAGCTAACAGGACTATTATTTGCCGCTTTGGAAATATGATATATTGTAATTGCATTGGAAAACAAAAAATAATATAAAACGGTATGACGTTGATTATAAATTGATTGAAGCTCCAGCGTGACTATTTTTATCAATCAACCAAGTGGACAATGAGTTAAGTTATTATTTCAAATATAACGGGTAAATAATTTAAAGTTGGAACTTAAGGTTGTAAATCACAATATCAAGGAATACAGAAAAGGAATGAACTGTTTTGGATCTTGAAAGGATTATTACAAGTGTGTTCATTTTTATAAGAGTCACCCATACCGTAAGTGCAATAAGGAAGCCCAACTGTAATGTCCGTGTCTGAAAAAACCTTTGGCCAAATAAACGTCGCTAAATCACTAGTGCTCTGTATATTATTATAAACATAACTTTCATCAGGAACAAGTAGTTCTGCGATTTCACTCCCATCGCATCCGGTTACCGAATCAATATCCAGCTCATGATAATTGTAATCATTTCTGAAAATTTAAATATGCGTAATCATATCTTAAATGAATTTTACAGCAACCATTTAAAAATAACACATAACATTGTTCCTATCATGAGACATTTCTTAAATATAAAAATACCGTTCGTATGTTGAAAACAATGCATTCGTAGAATAACTGTCAGAGAAATAGTATTCGTATTTTATATTAATTTATCTTTGAATAATAAGAATGTGAACAGGAAAATATCAGGAGGATATCAATAAAAAAGCGAACAAGAGCCATGTCAACATGGCCATCCCCCGACGAATGTGTTTGCTCATTGGCAGAATGTATATGTAGAAGAGCGGAATAATTCCATTTTAAGAGGTCTTTTGGTAATAAAAACTGATGGCTATAGTGATTACAGATTTGAAACCTATGTGAATACTGATGGCTGAAAATAACAAAGGGCAATTACTGAAAAATAATGCAGGGTAGGCTATCATTCTTGTGTGCTGCATCCCTCCTCAGTAAAATCTATCCACCTATGAGGTTTCAAGTTGAGAAAAAAAATTGAATTGAAAAATTAAGTATGAAAAAGAACAAAGGGCAATAACTCAAAAATTATGAAAGGTAAAGTTATCATTCTTGTGCACTGCACACCTCCTGAGTGAGATCTATGCACCTATGAAGTTTCATGTTAATATCTCATAGGCTTTTGAAGTTATGCTCTGGACAAAAATCAATTTTGAAAAATAACAAAGGGCAATAACTCAAAAATAATGCAGAGTAGAGTTATCATTCTTAAGCACTGCACTCCTCCTCAATGAGATCCATCCACCTTTGAAGTTTCAAGTTGATACCTCAAATACTTTTTGAGATAAGCTCTGGACAAAATAGAATGAAAAAAAACAAAGGGCAATAACTCAAAAATTGTAAAGGGAAGAGTTATCATTCTTGCGCACAACATTCCTCCTCAATAAGATCTATCCACCTATGACATTTCATGTTGATATCTCAAACACTTTTTGAGTTACGCTCCACTCAGGTGAAAAATTAGGTATGAAAAATAACAAAGGGCAATAACTCAAAAATCATGAAAGGTAGAGTTATCATTTTTGTGCACTGCACACCTCCTGAGTGAGATCTATGCACCTATGAAGTTTCATGTTAATATCTCATAGGCTTTTGGAGTTATGCTCTGGACAAAAATCAATTTTGAAAAATAACAAAGGGCAATAACTCAAAAATCATGCAAGGTAGAGTTATCATTCTTGTGCACTGCACTCTTCCTCAATGAGGTCTATCCACCTATGAAGTTTCAAGTTGATACCTCAAATACTTTTAGAGATATGCTCCGGACAAAAATGTCGGACGGAAGGACGGACGGACGGATGGACTGACGGACGGATGGACGGACGGACGGAGACTATTTCTATATCCTCCGCCGAAAATTTTCGGCGGGGGGATAAAAATGTGTTTGTTACATATTAAAAACGCCTTATCATTTAACGGACTAAAATGGTCTGTGATCTATTTTTCAGTTTCTGAATGTCCTCTCAACAAATATATTCATGTTATCTGAAAGCATTATTCCTAAAGTTCGATATATACTTACATAAAGATAATTTATTTACTGAGAATTTATTAAATGTAAAAGATTATGAGTTGAGAATAAAAAGTGCAGCTTACGTAACTCAATTCAATTGTAATTAAAAAAATTAAGTTGCATAATTGATGTTGAAAACTTATTGTCTACAATTTATTATTGTATGACGCAAGAAATGGTTATATTTCTTTTCACTGAATAGTATCATTTAAACTTGATAAGAGCTATATAAAATAAAACAAATGAAAAATGAAATAAAGGATGAATTTCTAAATAAATATAAATACTAAAAGCGAAAACACATATTTAAATTATTCTCATACGTTTTCAAAGTTTGAGTAAATGTGAAATTATTGAAAAATATACTTTTTAAAAGGTTTTCCTTTGCGGAATGTTCCTATTGTGCAATGACAGGACGGAAATGCGAAATCACTATTGTTATTGTCAATAAGAGCTGCTTCACGAAATCTGAACTTGCAATCGTTTCGTACCTGAGATAAGATAATTACCATAATAACATACAATCAAAGTGTACAAAAGCAAACCTGTTTCATTTATATCCCCTGAAATATAATTAAATCACTTCATTGAATCCTTTGCAGCACGGAGTGATGTAAAAATATTTAGCCACACTAACCGTTTTGAAATATTGTTTAAAAATAAAAAAAATGTATGTTAGATTTTTTTTCTAATGAAGATACTCTAACACACAAACTTTCAAAGATATTGAATGACTTTTACTACAGAAATCGCAAAAATATTAAAAAAAAACATTTCGAACAAGCCTTGTATTAATATGTTCAAGTAAAACGCTACATTCGAAATCTAAATTTGTGCACAATGAAGCATGTGATAAAATGCACTTACCTTTACAAAACAAGAATATCTCTCATTAAAACCATCAAAAAAATAAGCTGAATCCAATTGAAATAAACACTGTCTAGAATACGTTATCCTGCCAGATTCTTTTCCTTTCTGATCGAAATCCCATGTACAAGACTCTGAAGAAATAAAATGTTAGTTAAACATGAATGTCTACTTATGCAAGTTATTGACTTAAGTTATTTTGTTGTATAAATACTTGCAGTAGTAATTCAGAGATGATGATTTAGTCTTCCGCAACTATACAAGTATACCTTTTTCCCTAAATGTAAAAGTGCAAAATACAAATTCCTCACACATTTTCAACAAATGATTTTTTAAATCCTATAAGAAGTATTTTAAGTAATAGGTTTCTGAGATAAAGGAAAAAAAGGGAAGAACAAGAACTTTCAAAGTGTAACAAAATTTACAAGCAAGTTTATATTGATTCAACATTTAAATCACGTGGTTAAATAACATTCATATTTCCAACACTCAATAAAGACTTAATCAACAAATAGATACAGATAAAAATTCATTAATCTAAGACATCTCCTTACGGTCAGAGAGTTTCCCTGGTAGGTATTCAATATTGAAGACATCGGTCGTTGGAATTATGACTACGCAATTCTGTTCATCACTTTTATCGCTACAGTCTGGGTAAATATCACATGTCAGTCGATAAGGGATACATTTGTAATCATCAACACAATGAAATGAATTTTGGCAAGAGTCTGGAATTGTAAAATACAAACACTTTAACATTTCTTTGCTATACATGCATAAGTAAAAAGACGTCTTTTTCATTGAATATATCAAGACACAGTTGAAAATTACAAATTGTTATCTGTATTATTGTTATAGAGAGATGAAACCCTATGACATATCAACCCCTTGACACCTTGATCCCCAAGGCACCTCGTCCCGTGACATTAGACCCCTAAAACTCTTAGACCCATTGAATTGACTGGACATTTCGACCCCTTACTCTAAAATGCACATAAAGGTGTTGCTTATAAAAGGAAATTGCAAGAAAATAGAGAAAAACAGAATCCCTAAAGAAAACGTTAATTTAGTAAAAGAAATGTTTTTTTTCGCAAGTTTGATTATTTAATATAATTTGATAGATATATTGCACTATAAGTGAAATCATAAAAGTTCTTTATTTGTTATACATAATCATTCTTCAAGTCAAGTACTTTGTGTAAAAATGCTTTGTGTGCTATCTTACATCGCATTGTATGCCTTGTATCTTATTTTAATAGTAACACTATAATGATGTATGACAGCACACAAAGCAATATATTTAATACATTACAAAGTAACAAAAATGACATGAACCTTTCAAATATATTTGAAATAAAACTGTAGTTATTATAATGAATACAAACAATTGTTTCATGAATCGGACATATATGAAATATTTAGGTCAACTTTAATATAAATATTGTGAAAGAGTATTAAAATGACCAAACAAAATGCGCTATCAGTATTTTAACGTATAACATTTCCTTTCCAAACCACAAACCCCGTTAAGAATTAAATAGAGGATATTTGTTTGTTTGTGTGTAAGATGAACTTTTATTTAATCGAGTGAGCTTTACAAAAACAGTGAAAATACTGTTTTTAAAGTTCACGAGATCATGTACATCTTACACAACAAACAAACACAGTTTATTTTTATTTTATGTTTAAAAGCAAGACAAAACGAAAATTTCATAATATGTACGTTAATATTAAAATCTGTTTTCCCCATTGAGAGCCCCATTTAGTCAAAAACAAGAAGTCTTGAGCTGCAAAATAAGTCCGTTTTGCATGTGGAAGGAATGTATTTTTCAGACTGTAAAAATGAAACAAAAAAATTTAGAGACGAAATTTGGTGATTGGAATTTGAATGAATAGAAGTAAGTTTTCTTCTTTTAATTACTTTTTACATTTAAGTTATTTAACAATTTCAGCTTTGCTTTTTCTTTAAACAGCCTGACATTGTCAGAATTGTCAGCAAAAATAAAATTGAGGTACAACATCTGGAAAATCTTAAAAAAGTAGTTTCATCATGATTGAAAAGTGTGAAATTATATTTTGATTATTTTCACTTTGAAATTATCAAATATAATTTTCACGGATAAATCAGTAATCCACTGAAAACTTGAAATAAATGCAGCTACTGATTATTTAGCACAACAATTTCGTGTTTGGCAGGATATTTTACACAGGTGGTAATTGCCGATAATTTGATCAGCAACGACACATGGTCAGCGTATTTACACGACTTCTAAGATAACGATATTATGAGGACAAATATAGCCCTTAAGATATAAAACAATTATATTGCCGAAAATATTACTTTTGAAGCTTTTTATTGCAATTATAAGAGAAAACATGAAATGCGAGACGTAAATGAATTTAATTGTTAAAAAATATGTCATAAGATATAGATGTGACTATATCATTTGCAGTTTATATAACTACAATTCCATATAATAACCACGGTAAACATTGTAGAAGTAAAATATGTATGTAACTTTCGAAATACGTGTAGTCGTAAAAATGAAGTAAAATGTGTTTTCAAGTTACAGCCTATTATTGTTCTATTGGTATTTTGGTTCCTTTTTTGATAATTATTATTATTATAAATGATAAGTATTATTATTCCTTCACCTTTTGACTGGGACTTTATTATATGTCCCAGCTTTATAAAAACACATAAATATATTTTAATGCTATGTAACAAAGCATTTAATGGATTGAAAACAATAATAATGTACTGCTTTGGCTTTTCAGTATTTTTTTTAGATGAAAACATTTACCATGTGCTCTAAATGTTTTCTTGAACTTTCTTACTGTCCTTCTAAAGAACACGAATTCATATATGGATCGAAATGTCACACACACACTAGGGGTCGAAAAGTCATGTAAAAAGAGGTCTAAGAGTCAAGAGGTCAAGGAATCATCTTAATATCCTAATAGGTCGAGAAGTCAAAGGGTATCAGTGTCTTATTTGCGAGAGATTATACAGGTATAATTTCAACACCTGAAATAGCCCAAAACAAAGCGATAAAGTAACATTGAGGTCATTTTACATTGCCAATGGACCTTTCCGGTGTTTACAGTTTTATGTAAATTGGCTAACTTTTTATCCAATGGCTACACTGAGATAATACATAGTCACTGGTTGACCTTGTTTGCACAAAAGAACATGCGGTTATGTTTGTGGGCAGTTGACTTAGCAAGGAATGGAAAAGGTGTGGCTAAATGTTCCGCTACGAAAAAACGGAAAGTTCAATTATATGAGCTGTTATATAGAACGAATTTTATTTCAATATATATTTCACCAGAAAGTGTCATTAATTTTCATGTTAATGGCTTAGACGTCAATATATTTGTTTTTCTAAGTTTTTTAAATTTGCTTTTTTTCTTTGTTTTGATTTTGTTTGTTTAATTTTCTTTAAGCCTGTGCAAATTCAATGGCAAGAGAATTATGGCTTCTATAACGGATGATTTAAGTTAATTTAGATAAAAGTAAAATTAATGCATATGTTTGCGTTTGCTACATGATAGGACAAGTAATCTCCTTTACGTATGGACCGATATGACATTTGGTTATAATTATAACCGATGTAAGAATGTAATAAATGTCAGGGTTTATAGGAAAAAAGATGTGTAAGCGATCGGATAGTTCAGTTGGTAGAGCCACAGTACGTTATTCCGAGGGTCCCGGTTCTGAGTGGCGGTTGCACATTTTTCTCAGCCTGTCATGTGACATTTCGTACTCACATGGGCGTGATGGTATTAAGCTCTTAGTCTAATTTTACATTGTTCTCTGCACCCCTTAGAAGTTCAAGGATGACTTTCATTTAAGTGGGACAGTATGTCACGGTTCAGAATTGTTTCCTATTAAGGGGAGATGTGGAAGAAACCTGATAACTCAGCTAGTGTCAGTGCGGAACGGTATTCCAAGTGTGCCGAGATCCATTCTCGGTCAGTCTGCAAATTTTCTCATCCTGTGTCATAAATTATATTAAATACAAGTTTTACATCTTTGAAATATCAACATCAAAATTATACTTCAGAGCTTCAGGTACAAAACATTATTAAAAAAAAAAACTATTTTTTCAATTGATTGATATTATACTAGGTAGTGATATACAAACCACAATTTATTTCATCGCTATTATCAAAACAGTCATATACAGCGTTACATCGATTGTCCACTGGAATACATTGTCCATTTGTACAACGAAATTCATTGATATCGCACATGCGGAAATCTAAAAAATAAACATGTTATCCAGTTAGTTACACAGGATGACGCGCCCCAAGCCTAAGCAAACAAATTGAATTTGGACCCAGTTGTTATTTTGACGTGTTTTGACAGACAAACAATTGAAAAACTTACAATAATGACAGAAATTAACGAACGGTTGAAATACAGAAACATTTTGCAGCGAATGTTGAAAATTGTCGAACCAATACTTTTAGTTGAGAACGTGCGGTCGCGAAAAAATTAATGGTCTTTTCTAACTGTGGGGCGGGGAGGGCTTGGAATGTCACCAGTCATCATTTAAAGGGTTATTTTGAAGTACTCCGTGCCATTTCAACATAGTATTAGCCAAACAGATGAATGTTGCGCAGAATACAGTTTTCAATAAACACCTAAATGTACAGTAACCCGAGACAATATGGAAGGTTGAGGGAGCCCTGATATGAACTGTTGGTTACAAGCAAAGTGTCTGCCTTTAAAACCGCCACTTCGTATCCAACCCTAACCATCTTTACAAGCACTAACACTTAAGACCCGGGACATATCGCCATTAATGAAAATAAAGTGATAATCTGCAATTATGACCTATTTATTTTGATTTGATGAATTCTTTAAATTATATATGATATGTACAGCGGTCTGTTTTTATGGTGTTCATTATTTTGATGCGTGAGAGTACAATGAAATCATTACATGAAGAAAAATAAGGTGTTGCTGCCAAAATAAATGGACATATCTTACGGATGATCTTGACTGACCTATAAGGTTTTGCAAACCTGTGAATTATCAATTATATTATAATACATAGTAAGAGCAAAAAAATTAATATAGAAAAAGTCATTTGATTTTGTTTTACCTTTTTATTGAAGGTAGTTTTAGTCAAACGGGACTTACTTTTATTCTACATCATACCTCACAGAAAAATTAGAGCTGGCTCATATGACAGTATTTATTAAGTTTGGGTCAAATGGACCGTCAGTATTCTCATGGGGTTGTGAAGAAAAAAGACTCTTTTTGTTATAATTGCTTAATATTACAACTTTTTTGTGAACATTGCTCGTATGGTACAGGGCTTTCTCTTACTTCGTCTTTAGGCACCCCTTATGGCATTTGAAGCGTCAAACCTTATATAATCAGCAAGCTTAATGCGCGGAAAATTGTTTGAGATGGGTTAGCGATCTATGTCATGATTTTGTTAACATACTGAGGACACTTTTGTGGCACGTATTTTTTTAACATGTTGAATATTCAAGTGACAAGATAGCGAAGACCGGCGACACGTGCGTAGAAATTGAGAATCGGGATATCTTTTTTTTGAACTGCATGTATCTCGGAAATGTCAGATGCAAGTATGTCACTTACATTCGCAGCCCAGTGTGACAGGGGTTTGAGTACTAATAAGCGTCAATATGTTATTTAAAGGTACTGTCACACTAATCTGCGACACCTTCCGAATTGTTTGAAACACAAATGTAAGGCACATTTTGCGAATTGTAGCAACAACAATCGTTCGGGGTTTCACTCCCTTATATCAACGACATAAATACGTATGTCGCCTGAATGCTGCGCGAATGTCGCACGCATTTCCTGCGAAATTTCTTATGAAATTCTCAAATATGTCACAAAAAATCGCACGATACCTCTTTTGTCATCTGTTTTGCATGATTGCGGAATATTTTGCTCTTGCAAAATACGCGCAAAATTTAAGTGCAAACGACAGTTATAAAATGTAAAAATGAAAAAAAGCAAATTCGAAATCCAGCGGTCAGACATCATGTTAGATTTGAAAAGGATTGGACTGAAAGAGTGTAAATCTTCACACTTCCCTGGAAGTTAATTAACAATATAATTTATAAGAATATAATTATTTTAAAAAGCAAAACTCTTAAACTCAGAGGAGATAACTCTTGAAATAAAGATGCTAGAATTATTAACAATTTCATTCATGATGTGTGTGTGTAACAAGAAACAATTATCTGAAGTTTAATGAGATATTTATAGTCACAAAGAAGAAAAGTGACAAAAAATAAATATACCATTTATAGTAAGAAAGAAGAAAATTGAAAAATCAAGCTCACAATGAATATATTCATGAAAACCCATGACTTATAGATCTAATCACAAATAATGTAGGTGTTGATAATGAATGTCTATTTTAAATTTGAAGTAAATCCACGGAGAACTAAGAAAGTAACAAAATGAATAAGAAAAATTCAAAGTTTAAGGAGGAGATAATTCTGGAAATATAGACTCTAGATTTATAACCCTTGTCATATTATTATGATGCGGGAATTTGAAGTAAATGCTATAAGATATGAAGAAGTTTAAGTAAAAAATAATAATTTCTAGAAAAAAAATCTAGTTCAAGGGGGGGGGGGGGGCATTATTCTGGAAATAGTCAAGCAAGAGTATTGAACCTTCTCACAAATGATTTAAAAGATTATAAGATATATATATTTTTGTACTGGAGTTATACACCTTATCACATATGATGAGGTTGATGATATTTAACAAATATTTGAAGTTTCAAGTAAATACTTTAAGAAATAAAGAACTTATAGTAAAAAGGCGTACAAACTTGAATCTGAAATCTTGGCCGACGCTTGGTGAGCAGGAAAGCTCTCAAAATTTTCCCTATAGTCAAGATTAAAGTAATGTTTATAATGTCCATATTGCCATCTGTCCATATTTTTAAGTTTAATAAAAATGTTTTCAGAACATTTTGAGTAATAACAAATATTGTAAAATTCACCATATTTTAAGCCTATTTGTTTCCATACCAACCAAATTTTTTGAACATTGGAATAAAAGAAAAAGTCTTGCATAATTTCCACACAACCATCTTCCAATATTTTAAGTTTCATAGAAATATTTTCATTACTTTTTGCGTTATCACCGGATCCAGTGTATGTTTTAAATAAGCCATGTTTTCAGCCTATTTGTTGCCATAGCAACCAAATTTTTTTAACATTGGTAGAAAATAAAAAGTCGTGCATAACTTCCAGACTGTCATCTAACCACATATCAAGTTTCATAGAAATATTCATTTTCATTTATTGTGCAGAGATATTAGCAGTAAAAATAAGACAATATTAGAATGTTAAAGGCATAATTATAGATGGGGAAGAATATAAAATTTCTCAATATGCAGATGATACATCACTTCTATTTGATGGTTAAAAAATCTCTTAATAGTGCTTCAAAGTTATTAAGTATGTTTACAGAAAAAAAATCTTGATTCAAGATAAATGTTGACAAAACTAAGGTTATTTGGATTGGCTCTCTTAAATATATTACTAGGACTTAAGACAAGATGGAAATTAACATGGGGTGATACACAGTTCAAACTGTTAGTTTAAATATTTGATGTTGATTATGAAAAGATATTTGACTTAAATTTTAATGGAAAAAATCAAAAAGCAAAAAAGGGTATCACTCACTGAAAAAAGAGAATATTAACTCCAATAGGAAAAAATGCTGTTATTAAGTCAATATTGCTACCTTTATCTACTCACTGTTTCACAAGCTTAGCAACACCAAATACTGTATTTTTGAAAACACTTTATGACTTATTTTATGATTTCATTTTGGAAGGCAAGGCAAAAATAAAACAATCAGTACTTATTAAAACATGCAAAGAAGGTGGTTTAAACATGGTTGGTATTTATAGGTATATACATAGTTTAAAGATAAAATTGTTTAAAAGAAATGTTTGTAATGGCAAAAGTAAATGGTATGAGCATTGTTTAATTTTGATTAAATTTTAAACACTGGAAAGATGGTTTGTTATTTGATTATAAGTAGAATAACAAATTATTTCTGGATTGATGTTTTAAAAGCTTATATGGTGTTTGTAGATAAACTTTGTATAGATAATATAGAGCAAGTATAACATATGCCACTTTATTACAATTACAATTTTTTAGCAGGAAATAGATATATGTACATTCAGACATTATATGATAAAGAAATCAGATTTGTAAAAGATATTATAAATGAACAGGGTAATTTGGTAGATTTGATATACTTAGAATAGGTAACAGGCAAACCTGTGAACTTTTTGCAGTATCATTATTTAAATCCGGCAATAAAATTGTACATGCAAAAGTTTAATATTTTCACAGATAAATTTAGATCGACCCGTATGACTGTATTTGTTAGTTTTGGATCAAGTGCCGTCTATATCCGTTTGAAAATGTCTCACATGGGGTTGTAAAGAAAAAAATGTTTTAATGGCTTAAGCTTGTCAACGTATGCGACAAGAAAACGACGGCATGCGACTCATGTGACGAAACTGAGAGCTTTCGAGACATTTTTGAAACTATCTCGCGAATGTTATCCGCAAGTGTGTCGCTCAAATTCGCAGCCCAGTGTGACAAGGGTTTAAGCAAATATTTTGCGACTTTTTATGAATATTTTCGGAAGCCGTCCGACTCGTACTGGTTTGTAGAATATCGGGATGTACTGTTAAAATACTTTGTATATTAGTTGATTAGGGCGTCAGTACGAGTCGAAACTTTTGAGTTTTGAAGAAGGAGTAACAGCTCAAGTGCCCCCTTCCAGTTGCAGGCACTAACGGGTAGCTGAGAAGAAACACCGACGTTCCAGGAATCAAACCCATTGTAGCAAGGGGCAAATTACATTAATGAGATTCTTAGGCAAATAAATGACATAATAATAAAATGAGTATATGTATGTAAATCTCCCTTAATGGACATTTTTTAAAGACTAGTTTCAGCATGAATTTCTGTATTAATACTATATATTTGGGGTTTGAAGCGAAAATATATCTATTTATGTTAAATGGCTAGTGTGATTGACATGTTATAACCAGCCACTTATACAATTCTAAAAGGAAATGGGAGAATGAAAAGGGACCAGTGCTAGAAGGTTTTCAATTTTGCTGATAAATTGGCCGAAAAGGACACCTGTCCAATGTACGGATTCTGTCAAATACTGTCACTTTCGCTAAGAAATGGTTTGCTTTTTATTAGTTCAGAATAAAAGTTTAAAGAAAGTAATGTGTGCAAACATATATTTTAGAACTTTCGTCGTGTCAACAATGCTCGTATGTGAATTATATATGGTTATCACTGAAATTGATTTTCTTACCGCATGATTCATCCGTACCGTCCTTACAATCTATTATGAAGTCGCATACTTGATACTGGTTTAAACAATGTCCACCATCACATGAAAATTGATATTTACCACATGCTACAAAATTTTAAAAGTTATTTCAAAATTATTTTTATGTTTGAAATATAGATAATTGTTTTGTTTAGTTCTTCATAAATTAATTGCAGATTCAACTGCGCTTTCCGAAAGCAGACACATATCATAACACAGCAAAACAATGTTTACGGTACTGTAACACTTCAATATCATAAATAATAGCAGTTGAATCATTTCTGATAAACGGAAAACATCATCTTCGGATACCCACGACCAAATCATTAACATGTATCAAGATTTTTCGCCGATATCCAATCGATAAAAGGTGTGTCAAATTTTGTTTTATTTGCTTTATTTGGTTTTCTATCACATCGAAACAGTATAGGTCATATGGCGACATTCCAGCACAACCTCAGGTGCCCTTCGAGTCAAAGACGGCTTTGGCATAGGTTGCCTCACGATTCACGAGGCGGTTAAAACCAATCAAAACACTCGTTCTTTACAACGTTTGATGAAACGTTAATTCTAGAAAAAATGTTACTATTTTGGTATCTGCTGGTGGGCTATTTTTGTTTGGGGATAGTTTTTTACCGTTGACGCCGTTATTTTGTTTCTGATAGTTGTCAAAGAATATGAATTTTGCTAAACAAGAGTTTACAGTTAGACAACTTGGCGACCTGGATGCTGTGTCAGTACCAATTTAGTAGTGCAAACAACTAATTACTCCTGGTTAAGAAGCTTCTTTTTAATTAATGTAATTACTCCAAGGAAAGACAATTAATAAACAAAACAGAGAAGCCTGAAATATAAATTCACTCTTACGATTCAAATTGAAAAAAAATAATCATTTATAAGTTTATGTAGTAAAATAAAATTAATTGTGTTAGTAATGTTGCGTGGACACGATGTGTTTTTGCCTACGTGTCATTATTATTTTTATTATACTTTGCCTCATGGGTTTTCTATTACAGTCGTTTATGATTGCCTAATGACCGCTATTTTTTATCTCAAGCTTAGGTAGTTGTCAAATCACATCAGCGAGCATAGTCACATAAAATGTCCGAGTGAAAAAACAACAAATATAGCTGCGCCTATATATTCAGAAAATATTGACAAAGATCTTTGTAAAACATTATTAATATTGACTATTTTCGATACGTATTTGTGCGAATTTTTAGACAGCATTTAATTTGTGTGGTGAATATCATTTTAAGCTAAATGCGTTATATTTCATCTTCTATAAAGTAATATTCAGGTATTTTCGTGATGTTAAACTTATGCAGGGATTGACAAAGATTAAGTTTAAGAAAATACACGTATAAATGCGCCATTCTGTAGTTCGCAAATATTGAAGAAAAAAAACAAAACATTATATGACTCTCGTTAACGTGAGCGCACGATTCTTTGTGGTGAATTTGCAATAGTTTTAGTGCCGCTATGTAGGGCCCTGGTGAATTATTTTGACAGTTCGAGAGGTCAAGCTAACATTTCAAAGTCCATGAGGCACGGTTTATGCTTGTCAGTGAACATTCTTTGTGTAAGTAATTTAGTTTTTTTTTATTTAAACTAAAAGGTATCTGGGAAAAATAATTGTCTGACAATATCATACAGCCACAGACTGTAATTAAAATCTGTGGTACAACTTAACACTTTCTTGTGTACAAAAGTATTGCTTCATTGTGCATTTTCATTTTTCTTTCTCTATTATTTGTTTCTCTTGTTAAGGAGCTTTGTTTGCATAATTGTTCAACTAAAATTAAATTTTTTTATCAAGACTTATGGTAGTTATAAGCATTTTTAACAGGAATCATTAAAATAAGCAAACGTAGATCTATACCACCTTAAATAAGCTTTATATTGTTGAGTATTTCCTACAGTTGTATACTTTTTCCATTTTTAAAAGTCAAAAAATATTAAACATAGAATTTCTCTATTTAATCAACAACAAAGCTTTTTAAGGGTTATTGTAGGTTTTGGTGGAAGGTTCGAGATTTTTTTACTCTTTTGTGGAGAAAATTCTATACAGTGGAACAGACCAGACATTGATAGAGATATGTTCATAAAATTATTTTTTCCAATGCTTTATTAATTCCTTAAAAAATATAAATGTGCCTTCAAACGTACTCTATGACTAATATGATATTTTTCAGAAGCATGAATGTTCAGGGAATGGCTGACAGGGCAAAACGAAACGATGTTATAAATTATCTGAAAAGTAAACAGTATTCAATCCAATCTGTATGTTACAAGACACTCACGTCTCCAATAAAGAAGAAAAATATATACGCTCTATGTGGGGATATGAAACATATTCTTCAAGTTTTAATAGTCAATCACGTGGTGTTGCATTTTTTTGTTAATAATAATTTTGATTTTATTATAAATCAGTAAAGAAAAAGATCTTGAAGGAAATTAACTTATACTTAATTATTACATTTGTAACAAGATTATAACTCTTGTAAATATGATGGTCCAAATACGGACAATCAAAATATCTATGACTATGTCTCAGAAGAAAAATGTAAAAATTTGAAGACTCCATAATTATTCTTGCCAAAGGCTTAAATTTTGTTTTTAATCCAGATGCTGAGTCTTTAAATTTTTGCACTTCAATAACCCTAATGCACGTGATAATATTCTTTCTTTAATATCAAATAATTTAATGGATTGTTGAAGGGAAAATAATATTGAAAAAAAAAAAGAGAATACACTTTGTTAAGAATAAATTCTATTAAAAAGGCGGGTATTTATGTTTTTAAATTTCAGACTATCTCTATACAAATCTTGACAATACTAATACTCATATTGGAAATTTAACAATTCCCTTCTTCGAGAAGATGTTTATGCATTACAAAAACCCAATATGCAACAAAGATACTAAAAATAATAATATTAATGATATTCCTCTATCAGGTTGGAGATTTAATATTAATGACCAATTATTTTTTGAGATGTTATAAATGAATATTAGAGGAATGGCTATAAGCTATTCATCACATAAGAAAAAAATAGAGGTAGAGAAAGAAAATAAATTCATCAAAGAAATAGAAAAAAATAATAAAGAACAAATTATTGATTATGAGTAACTAACAGCACTTTTAAATTTGAGAAAGAAAAAGATAGAAGGTAATTTTATAAGATCCAAAGCCAAATAGAAATACTACAACAAGAGAAACCCACAAAGTAGTTTTGCAATCTTGAAAACAGAAACTATATCTCAAAACTAGTGTATTCACTTATGTTAGAAAATGGTCAGATTTTAAGAACTTAAGAAGAAATTTTGGTTGAAGCCAAGTGTTTTTATGAGACTTTATACAATGAAAGGAAGTAGTGTAGATAACACATCGTTAGTAGAACTTCTTGAGGGTCTAACATACATAAATTCAGAAAACAATTGTGGTAGAATTAACCTATAAGGAAATGTTAGATTCTTTTAAACAAATGTCAAACAATACAAGCCCAGGAAACGATGGCTTTTCTTTTGGAATTTCATATTTTTTTCTGGAGAGATATCTGGAAAGATATATGTTCGATCAGTTAATTATGTATATTTCATATATACAGGAAAACTTACAGTTAATCAAAGACAATGAGTTATAACTTGTATTCCTTATTACAAAAGAAAATTGTTTTTTTAAACATCTATCTCTTTACAAAATGTCTCACTCCTCTTTTAGGTTGAGATAATATAAGTAAAGATCAAACTGGGTTTTTGGCAGGCGGGCTAATGGTTTCAAACATTAGAATGCTTTATGATTTATTATTTCATTCTGAAAAGAAAACATTCCAGGGTTATTGGTTTCAATTGATCTTGCAGCTGCATTTGATACTGTGTCATGGAATTTTATGCACAAGGTCATCCAAGTTTTTAATTTTGGTCCCTCAATAAAGTCTTGGATTAGATTATTTAACACAAATGCAGAATTATGTTTTTTTATTAATGGACACATGTCCAAGTGGTTCTAACTTCAGAGTGGTTGTCGTCAAGGTGATGCCCCTTCACCGTACTTGTCCATTCTATGTGCTTCAATATTAATTTAAAATAGGAAAAACAAAATATTAAAGGAATCGAAATAAATGGAATTGAATATAAAATTTCTCAATATGCAGATGACACAAGTGTATTCTTAGATGGCACAGAAAAGTCTCTTTAAAACAACAATGCTGATTTTAAAATTATATGCTAAATTCTCAGGCCTAAATATTAACATGGAGTAAACAAAGGTAGTTCGGTTTGACACAAATAAATACAGTAACATTTTTATGTCCTGAATACAACCTTGACTGAAATAATTATATTTTTGCTTTGATTGGTGTAAAATGTTCTACTGATTTAAAGAAAATAGTAGAACTAAACTATGACTTAAAAATAGAAGAAATAAAAATTTATTTGCAAACTGGTCCAAAAAGAATACTTTCTCCAGTTGGTAAACTAGTCGTTATAAAATCACTTGCCCTATCTTATTTTAAGTATGCCGAATCCACAATTTGATAAAAAAAAAGTCAAATACAAAACCTATTTTAAGTGTCTCTGGAAAAATGTAGGGATAAAGTCAAAAGAAACATTATAACTCAAGAATATAAATTTGGAGGATTAAAGATGATAGACCTTATATGTTTTATGTGCAGTTTAAAGCTACATGGTTAAGAAGACTTTTGAACTAAAATTACAAATACTGTCAATCGGTTGATGAAACCTAACCAAAATTACATTCAAACCTTAATCCTTTTTGGAGAGATGCTATTTCTTGTTATAATACACTTTCTATGAATTTAAAACTATGCACTACTAAGCAGTACTAGTTTGTGAACTTATGGTATAATCGAAACAAAAAATTGGAAACTCTAGTATTAGTTTAAATAGATGGATAACAGGTGGAATTCTTTTTATAGAAGATCTTATCAACCAAAAGGGGGCGTTTTATACATGTGATGAATTTGTTTTCTCGCCATTTAATGTTAGAACTTTTTTTGTTTAGAATAAGAGGTATAATAGCTTCAGTTAAAGAATTTTTAATGATTTACCTAAAAAAAAAACACCAGAATTACTTACCTATTCCAAATCCTATATGTATAATTAATAGAGAATAAAAAAGGATGCCGTTTTATTTATATAGCAATGCAAGCTAAAAAACAGTATCCAAAATCATTACACAGTTGGAAAACAGTGATTTTTTTAAAAAGAATTCTTTGTATAATATGGTTTACAAATGTACAGAGGACACTATAAGTTAATATGGTTTCAGTATGGAATAGACCATAGATTTCTTGCAACAAAATATTTGCTTAGGAAAATGGATATAATTTATGAAGATAATTGTTCATTTTGCCATAATCAAAAAGAAACATCAGTTCATCTTTTCTGTGATTGTGATGTAACACAACATTTTTTGGAACAACGTCTAAAAGTTAATATTAATGATAGATTCAACTTTAACATTCAAACCCGGAGTCGGTTGGATATATTGTCGGCAGAGCACATCTTGATGAAGTTATGAATAATATAATATTACATGCCAAATATTACATTTAAAATTGTGGATTAAAACAATTAAGGCCTGATAAAGGACCTTTAAACAACAACTTCGTGCCCGTTATAAAATTTATAAATACATGTCCAAAGAGTCATTCAAGCATAAGGTATTTGAAAAAGCATGGGGAAAATTCAATAATTAAGTGAGCCCCTTATCAATGGACATGACGTAAAATGTTTGCAAACTTGGTTCAAGTGAGAACCTTGACAAAATGGCTACCGATTCATGAATACTTTCAACGCTCGCACGTATTTTCTTCCGGTTAGTTGGTTTGAATGTTATTTTGAAATTATTTAATGTGCCCAGTTTTTAATGCAATGATTATGGCACACTTGGTGTAAGATCTCACATTCATAGCTTCTGATATGACGAAATTTTTAAAGATATAAACAGGTTATGTACATATTTTGAGATTTGACAAGTGACAGTCCAGGTCGAGTTTATGCTCCTTTATTCGCAACTGTAAGTTGTAACGTTCACCAACCAATACAACATACGTATTTTTCATTATAGTGTTAAGGTTTGAATTTGCATGTTTCAATGTTTCATAGTTGCAAAATATTTCTTTCTGTCTGCCAAATGATTCAGAGACGATTATATTGATAAGTCACAGAATTTTCTTGAAATTTTATACATGCAATTCTTTTTTTTCTCACTGGCTTTTAAAAAATGTTTTAAATGACTTTGGTATTTAGGGGTTTCTTCATTTATTTGTCAATTGTTATCATTTACTGGTTCGACGACTTCATGTCCTCTTCTGTTTTTTGTTTGGTACTGAATGCCTTTACGGTAGTCCAGTGTGACTGTATTTTGCCTCTTATTGTCGCTTTACATTGTTGAACTTAGTTCTTATATTTTTCCTGTTGCACAACTATATTACATGTTTGTATTTCTTACATTTGCGCGTTTCTCAATTCATAAATGAAGAAGCATTATTGAAAGTTCTTTAATTAGCTTAGTTGAAGTTGCAAGAAGAATGACATGAATTAGGAATAGAAATTAAAGTGTACTTCAGTTAAAATCATTGTAAATAAAACTGTCATTATGAATATTGCAACATAAATTAGAAACAAATGAAAGAAAACATTAAAGCGTGCCATCATAAATGAAACATTCATCATGAACATTGCAACGCAAGGACTTTGTCGCGTAATAATGTTACTCGGCGAAAATTGTAAAATGTTACTGTATCATTTTGAGATCAAAAGTTGCTTAATATTGAGTGCATATCAAATGCACTATTTACTAGTGTGGCAAAGTCCTAAAGAAAATTTAGAAGTAACTGCTGAAGAGCGTCAGAAATAAATTTATATTTTGATGACACGTTTTCAACTGAAGTACTCTTTCATTTTCTTTCTTATTTATGTTATCCTTCTTCTTGCATCTGTAGTAAAGCTATTTTCATAATTTCCGTTATATTCCACAATGATTTTTCATTTATAAATTGAGAAACACCCAACTTAAAGAAATTGTCAATAAGCATGTGATTAATGGATGTGAAACAGGGAAAATATGAGGACAAAGATTAATAATGCAAAGCGACAATAAGATAATACAACCCTTAACAAAGTAGTGTCACACTGGACCACCGCAAAGTCATTCTGAAGGGCACCAAACAAAAAAACAGGAGAGGGCACAAAACACATGAAAGTATAAAACCTAAACTTAGGGCAATAACTCCAAAATTAAGCAAGACAACGTTATGGTTCCTTGCACTGCACTTTCTATTCAATGAGATCTTTCTACCAGTAAAGTTTCGTATTCATATCTCTTATAGTTTCAGAGTTATGTCACCGGTTAAGATAAAGTGTAAAAATGAACAAAGGCAATAACTTCAAAATTAGGCAAGTTCCCTAGCACTGCACGTCTATCCAATGAGATCTATTTTTCTACAAAGTTCAATGTTGATATCTCTAATACATTTAGAGTTATGTTCCGGACAAAGTTCAAGTGATAAAAATGAACAAAGGGCAATAACTCCAAAATAATGCAAGACGGGGTTATGTTTCTTTAGCACTGCACTTTCACACAATGAGATCTATCTATCTACAAAGTTTCATGTTTATAATTTCAATAATTTTAGAGTTATGTCCTGTACAAAGTTCAAATGAAAACAATGAACAAAAGGAAAAAACTCCAAAATAAGGCAATACAGATTTATGGTTTTTAGCACTGTACTTAAACATAATGAGCTCTAACTACCTACAAAGTTTCATGTTGATATCTCTTATAGTTTTAGTGAAATGTCCCGGACAAAGTTCAAAGTGTAAAAATGAACAAAGGGCAATAACTCCAAAATTAGGTAAGAGAAAGTTATGTCTTTTTTTTTGGAAAACTGCACATCTACTAAATGAGATCTATCTACCTACAAAGTGTCATGTGATACCTCTTGTTGTTTCAAAGTTATGTCCCGGACAAGAATAGCGGACGGTTGGCCGGACAAAGCTGCGACTATATCTCACCCTTCGGGGAGTATAAAAGAACAGAATTGCAAGTTTGCAACTTAAATGCGCTTGAACAAGATATTTTCGTGTATTGAAACTTTGTTTTGAACATGTTAATTCAAGGATTTACACAGTATTGAAAGATACATATTTTGTTTTGTTTGGTGAACGTGTTAACTTACAGATGGGAATAATTAATAATATTCATGAATCGATAGCAATTTTGTCAATTTTGTCACCAATTCTTTCGCTTGAACCAAGTTTGCAAACACTTCACGTCCTGCCCCTCGTTATGACTGTGATGTCTTTAAGAAATTCACTCTTTTTATTGATAATAAGTTTGTAGGGGTGTTACGACATGTATATAATTTCATCATAATTATCTTTTAGACTCTTCCTCCACCAAAACCTGAAAAAAATACTCCAAGAAAGATTTTCTTGCCAGTTCATTTATATGTATGGTTCCGTTTCACGAAAACTCTAGTAGTTGGCACTAAAAACCTTTATGATAAGTTTTTGTTCTATCTTTCCGTTTTTATAATAACTTTTTTCTATCCTCTTGTTACTTTTTTATAGCTCAATATTTCAAACAAACTGTCTATAACAATACAAAAATCAAATTAAGTTAAGTGTTTTGTTAGCACTATAAATTGTCCAGTTCCTTTTCTATTGCGTGTGTGCGCGCGCGGCGTGTGAGTCTCTCTCTGTGGTTGGCGCGTACGCGCGTGCGTGCGTGCGTGTGTGTGTGTGTGTGTGTGTGTGTGTGTGTGTGTGTGTGAAAAAGATACCATAAAAACATGTTTTCTTTGTAAATGTGCATGATTCACTTTCATGACTTCTATTATTTCTTTCCTTGTAAAGGTATATGCGGGTTGTGTATTTACAAGTGAATTGTTTTGATGCTATTTCTTAAGTTAGAAAATTGACTAGTGAATGTGAGTGAATTCTTGTATCAATTTATATTTTCTAGTTTTGCTATTGTTGTAAAGATATAAGTGGGTTATATATAAACAGAATTGATGTCTGTTGTTGTGTCTTTAAGGATATTTGAAGATATAATTGTTTATCAATAAGTACACAACGCTATTAAAAATCAGAAGTGTTTTTGGAATAATTAACTTAAAGAATAAAAACAGCATGCTATAAAAATGAGTCTATTTCTTCAGTAAAAAATAATTATGTTACAGTCAATCAAATAGTATCAACATCCAAAGTTGATATATACTTTCTTCCCACAGTTAACAGAAAAATGTGAATTATGTTATAACATTTCTAGTTATATGTTTGACATAAAGGGTTTAAATATCGACAGCTTAGATTTGTAATTTAAAAATATATGACATAACAAAACTCCCATAAAATTATTAAAACATGAAATCTTTAGTTGAATAAACACATGTATTATTATAACTATTTATTTTTTAAAGACAATTTGAGTTTGAATGTATTGATTGTGATTTTTGTTCGTGTAAAATTATACTCATTATTGAGAAAAATAAATGGGTAACTATAAAACAACACGATTTTATTGGCCGATATTTTACGCACCTGTTACTGTATACCGACATACTTTGATTCATTTTACTCACGGTTGAATGCAGGTTATGTTACATATCAATTAAACGTGGGTATCTGACGATGAGAAGGCATATGATGATGACATATTTTCTTTAATTTGAATAAAATACTTTAAAATAGCACTAAACGAATTACTAAAAATACAAATTATAGACAATTGACTAAATTAATAGTGAGATTAGTACTTAAGTGGCTAAAAAGCAAGATAAGGAAATACCACTTTTGCTTTGAAAACACGTGACTTCGTCCGAGGCATCAAGACAATCGATGACGTCATCACATTTAGCTAACGTAGATATCCACTCCTTGCTTTTTTCACAGCGGAAAAACGCCTCGTGTTTGAGTCGGTCAGGTAAATGAGTGTTAATCATTGTTGTGCCAGTATTCGTTAGACTGTGATCTAAATAATTACCATAAACATATTTTCAGACACAATCATGAAAATAATAATTACATTTTAGGGTTATTATTGGAGTACATATTTGCTTTTGCACTAAAGGGATATGTGATTATTATAGATCAAATATATATAAATACTGAATAGACCTGATGTAATGAATAGACCGATACGATGTTTAAATATTTATAAAATGAAAGTGGCGATTTTTCTGTCTTTTTTATTTTGGTTATTTTGAATTTATTTTGTGAAGTCGCCTCCATCATTGGCGCGGTGGCTACCTATTTGTAACACCTCATAGTTTATTCATAATCATCTTAGAGATAATACAGATTGAAAGTAGTTCCACCACGTTACTTCAGATGTTATCAAATACAGAGTGTGTATATTTTGTATAATGAGACATTCTAATGTATTTCCGTCATCCAACGGAAAAATAGGTATATTTCTGTGAAATTATTATTAAAGAATATGTCTGTAAATAAGAACTATTCTAAGAATTCTCACTGACGAACCATCATAAAAAACTCGATATATAGTAAACAGATTAACATTTGTATTTCTTGTTTCTAGAATATTTTAAAAAGTATATAAATAATGTATTGTTTAATTTAACATCTATTTATTTTCTTAATTTAGGTAGACAATTACTCACTATAACAGAACTATCTAAATCATTATATCAAAGCATTAAATTAATACAGGACATATTCAAACAATTGCTACAATGAAAATAACACAGAGTGACAATGTTTCTTGAAGGAACTGAACACCTCTGATATATCTTTGTTGTAATGCTTTCTTGTTTGTATGTAGAAAATGATTAGCAATTATTTGTGTATTTACTCGAAACTGAACATTTTTAGTTTCATATGTATTTGCGGCTCTCCAAACGTACATTAGAAAGCTGTAAATCAGGCACCGACCATTAGCGCAAAACAATTATTAAAAACAATTATTAAAAACTTTGGATACATTTTGTGAACATTCTAAAAACAACTGTTAAGTTGAAAGCCAGCCGTTCGTCTCAAAATTATGATTGTTAAATTCTTAATGAAATTATACTCGGAAAACGTTGTGTACAAGAACAGATGGAAAATGTAAAGTTATGTTATAAGGTATTTCTCAAAATGATAGAAAATTGCACTAGTTAGAAGTTATGTTGTATGAATGACAAATTAAACTACAACACTCCCTAATGTAAATTTATTTGTTGATAAAAAGAAAGAAGACTTTAAAGAAATTGGTGAAATGTAAGCTCGTTCAGGATTGGTCTGTCATTAAAAAAGAGAACACAATACACTGTTAATGGTCAACGAAAGTAGCATATACTGATCATATATTGGAAAACTGTAAGATGTTTCACTATTGACATTTTAGAATGTCTCAACCCTTTAATACCAATTAACTAATATTTTATTGACTCAATCTTACAAAAGCGACAGACTACATGTAAACATAAAGAAATTTTTCATCAAAACTTAGAAAATACAATTATAATAAACTAACCTATAATATCATTCTGGCAAAACAATTCATCCTTATAGTCTATGCAGTCAAAATTCCTGTCACACCAGTTTATTTTCAGTATTGACAATCCATCGGAGCACTTCATGACAGACAGTCCCTTTTCGGGCAAAATGATGTTACTTGTGTCTAACGTACAATTAAATAATTCAATGAAAACTAGAAATGTGTGATCATGCCACGATGCCCCCGCATGCAGCCAAAATTTCAGATTGTGCATTCATTATTTTTTTCATTTTAAGTTCCAAGCCCTTAAAACTTTTCAATGTTAACACAAACCATTTTCATACAATGTTCAAGGCACTGAAATTATTCAGTCTTAACCTTTTAAAAATAGCATATTGCATATTTGTAGCCAAAATAATGGCTAAAAGTATGAGTGCTGAAACTGAAAGTTCAAAATTTTTCCAACATTCAGGAATGATAAGTTTGTCTAAAATCATTGAACCACGACCAAATTCAAACTTAAACTGCTTATTCCTAAGATGTATCTATATTATTTTCAAAGTGAAAGGGACATAACTCTGCCAAAAATCATTGAACCATGACCAAATTCCAACTTGACCTGCCCATGCCTTTAACATATCCATATGTCAAATTTAAATTGAAAATGTAACTCTGTTGGGTAGATAATGAACAGAAACTGTAAATTTCATATTATTTTCAAAGTGAAAGGGGCATTCCTCTGCCAAAAATCATTGAACCATGACCAAATTCGAACTTGGCCTGGGCATTCCAAAATCATATCCATATGTCAAAATTGAGTTGAATGTGTTGTACCATTGTGGAGATAATAAACGGAAACTGAAAATTCCATATTACTTTCAAAGTGAAAGGGGCATTACTCTGCCAAAAATCATTGAACCATGACCAAATTTGAACTTGACCTGCGCATTCCTTAGACGCATCCATATGTCAAGTTTGAGTTGAATGTGTTGTACCTTTGGGGAGATAATGAACGAAAACTGAAATTATATTGTTTTCAAAGTAAAAGGGGCATAACTGTGCCAAAAATCATTGAACCATAACCAAATTCAAACTTGACCTGTATTTTTGTCATGACATATTCATATGTCAGTTTTGAGTTGAATGTGTTGTACCTTTGGGGAGATAATGAACGGAAACTGAAAATTTCATATTATTTTCAAAGTAAAAGGGGCATAACTCTGCCAAAAATCCTCAAACAATAACCAAATTCGAACTTGACCTGTATTTTCTCATGACATATTCATATGTAAAGTTTGAGTTGAATGTGTTGTACCGTTGGGGAGATAATGAACGGAAACTGAAATTTCATATTATTTTCAAAGTAAAAGGGACAAACTTTGCCAAAAATCATCGAACCATGACTAAATTCGAACTTGACCTGTATTTTCTCATGATATACCCATATATCAAAATTGAGTTGAATGTTTGCAACCGTTTATAAGATAATGAACGGAAACTGATGATGACGGAATGACAGAATGACGGAAGGACGGAAGGATGGAAGGACGGAAGGACGGAACAGGGTACCACTATATATATACCGGCCATTACATGGCGGGGGCATAAAAATGTGTAAAACAGGAACTCTATGTAGCCATATTGAAGGTGAATTTAACATTTGAATAATAACACTACGTAAATTAAGTATTTCTGATGGTCGTCGAAAAAAACAGAGGGAAAGAAAAGAAATTTCATATCGGCATAGAATTATTGTAGTGCCGCTAAATTTAAACTTGTATTTTTTTGTTGCTGTTGAATATGCAGGTGAATATATATTTCCGAATCGAAATAACATAATTTCTACTCATATTATGTAATGATCTATTTTGTCAGAAAAATATCAACTCAGTTTACCTTTGATTTTTTATGCTAAATAAAACATAAATAACTTGCCATTCAAAAAGCATGGCTCCCGCAAAGATCTGCCCGGGTCATTAACATAACACCAAGGAATACCATTTGAAGATAAATCTATACACAGAGTCGAATCGTTTAAAGAAGTTCTCAAAGAAGCAAACTTCTTGTCAAAATCAACTTTAGCTTCGCCGGACAGGTTTCCCCAACTTTTACAAGTTTTACCAGAGTATGGTGAAGCGATGAAGTCTTCTTTCCTATATATACTTGTACATTCATTTTCCATGATACCAGCTAAAATGAATAATTATTAAATATCTTAATATTAATGCATTTAAAATCCATCAAAACAGCATAAGAACGTAATAAGATTATCTGACACACACGAGGTATACTGTAAAATCATTATTATTCGTGGGGCACGAATTTTCGTGTTTTTCGTGGGTAGGTCAACCCACGAATTTAAGATCCGACGAAGTTGTATCCCAACAAATACTTCTTGCCATGTCTCTATTCTATATATTATAAAACATTCATCGGTGCTTTTCCTCCGATTTTTGTGCAATGAATGTCCAGAGGCAAGGATTAAATTTATTGACAAGCGCTGTGTGATACGTAAAGATAATGTACGTGGAGAAAGTAAAATGCGCGGCGATTAAGTGTAAGATTACTTTGCATTAGCTTATTTATTTTATTTTTTTTTACAAGAAATTGAAAATCCACGAATTTAAGAACCAACGAAAATGTCCGTTTTGATAAAACCACGAAATTTGATGCCCACGAATATAAGTGAATTCGCAGTATGACTTCCATCGAGAAATCCTATCCGTGTGATTTTATTCTCTTTCACAGTAGTGTCAAAGCGAAATGCACAGGACTTTTCATGTAGTTATAATAATGTAAACCTATTGATGTAGTCAACCTGCGGGCATGAAATCACAAGGAGAAGGCTTTGCTATTTGTATACTACCTTAATGACGTCACGGATCACATATTCAGCCCTAGGCACCTAACCAGTTTGACATTTATCTTAAAACTATGCTCTCACACAACATATTTTCATGTTCGACACAATAACGGAAGTAAGAGGAGATGTTTCGGTGAATATCTTCACGGATTCAGTTAGTAGAAACGAAGAAATGAGTTCTGTCTTTCTTAGTAGAAGAAAGAAGACAGTTCTTTTCATGAAATTGGGTTTTTTAATCCTAATGCATGAAGTAAAAGTATTCAGAAATTCTACTTCCAATTTTATTCAATTCATATAAAACTTTTATGTTTAACGGATATATACTTTTAAAAAAATTTCAATTCACCAGATCACCCATTTTAATTCATTTGTACAGTTGACGATTTACACGAATTTTGAAAGAGATTTTGTCAAAAAGGGTAACATTAAAACATTATTGTTGCACGAAAAATTGTTGAGATTAACTAAAAATAAATGACGTAGCAGTCTTACACTGTTTTCATATGAGAAGAAAAGGAAAGAAGGAAAAGAAGGAAAACATTTTTTTGAAAATATCACAATATTTACAAAAGCAATATATCTACTAAACGGTACTAAACATTTAATTGTTTAGAATTTTATTGCACTATAATTATTAAGTCTCTTTAAAAAATAAAAACTAAGTTGGTATTACTTGTTGAACTTATATTTAAAACAATATTATAAATTATACTTTTTGTTTGAAACCCATCTTCAATAAATGGTTTCTCGCAGATAAAAAAATCGACTAAGTCATCAAAACAATCTACTGTTGACCAAAGTTTTTCGGTGTTGAAAATCTCGAATGACATATAAGTACAATCTCCAGCTGCAGGTTGTCCGCTTCCCCTACAAAATCAAAATCAAACCTCAATCAATTTAATCATATCATATTAGCTTATAATCGAAATAAAATCTGGCACTTATCAAACTTTGTAATTACAAACTAGCATATTAAATTACTATCAAGAAAAACTGTCACATACACATACGCACGCACACACGCACACACGAAAACTCACGCATGCGCATACACATACACACCCGCATACACAAAAGAAACAACGCTCAAAATGGGGTTTGAATATCTTGTCTTATGAGGAATTATGTCATCTTACTGTCACAGAATACTCCGAAATATATAGGACCGTACATTTAATCAGAAGAAAGTTTTTAAACAGCATATGTCAATGATGAAATAGCAAGGAAAACAAAAAAGGTTCACTATTTAGGGGAGAAGATGTGTAAGCAGCCGGATAGCTCTGTCGGTAGAAACGCAGTACGGTATTCCGAGAGTCCCGGGTTCGAGTCCCAATCAGGCTGCACTTTTTCTCACCCTGTGGCATTTGGCGCCCAACGGGGGACCGTGACTGAATATAGCTCAGAGTTTAATTCACATTGCTCTGTAACTCTGAGAAATTCGAGGACGATTTTCAATAAAACATGGGAGTATGTCACGGTTCAGAATAGTTCACTATTCAGGGGAGAAATGTGTAAGTAGCCGGATAGCTCAGTCAGTAGAGCCGCCGTACGGTATTCCGAGGGTCTCAGGTTCAAGTCGCGGTCAGGCTGCACATTTTTCTCACCCTGTGACAAACAGAACAACTCTATTTTCTAATTATGGAACAATTACTTAAATTGTTCACTGTTAATTCACAGGTAAACAGCGTTTATTCATCCAGTTGGTAAACGATCGTCATTGCAATCGTAGGTCATTTAGCTTATGCTTTGCTTGTCTGTGATGAATCATTTTAGAAACAGTTTGATATTAAAATTCAGTTGGTTCAAATTTGTTTTTAATATAACTATAGATAATTACCAAGCACTGAAAGTAACGTTGAGATCATTAATCCAGTAAAAACTCGTCCTCCTTCGTTTCTCCTTTACTCGCCTTCAACCTTTAGAAATCATAAATAGGTATTAATTAAGATTAAAATATTAAATATCTTTATTTTATATTTAAATAAAGTCATAATAAAATAATGTTTTCAAATGTTTTTATGTACAATTTCGTTGTGTGTGTGTGTGGTAAATTACATAATATATTTCCTTAGAGTTCGTTCTATTTGAAAATTTGAAATTGAAGCAAAAGTATACACCCTTAAGTTGTTTCACCGCTCCTATATTATATAATCACGTGACAATATCTATGAATTTACAAAAGCATCGTTATATTAAAGAGTTTATTAGAATATATGTTTTACGCTACAGTTGCAGCACCACTATATGGCGTAGAGTAAACCCAAGTGACGGTGAAATGCTACGTATGTGGTTTACTTTTTTCAAACTTGACACTTCCTGTTATTTTAATACCCTTACATTAAATGTTGATCAAGTTCTTTATTTTCAATATGCTTCGCTTTTACATTTTTATCTGATTTGTCACCACAGAAATGTTTGTTTATGGTTTTGACGTAGAACTAGATAAAAAATTCTCGGAATCTTACTTTGGGGTCAAAATGTTTTCACTTGAAAGACGGACAAAGGACAAAGAGTTATAAATGATTTTTTTACGTGAGACAATTTCTTTGAATACATGTACATGTATTTAAATTTTACATCGTCAGGAGGTCAAATCAGGTATCCATTGGTCTGATTGCTTTGCTTTCAATTGCTTTGTATTCTGCCCTCTGCTGCAATGTAAGGTACAGCTAAAAAAATATGGGCGCTCGTCCGAGCGACGCTTTTCTTACATCTTTTTTTATAGCACCATTTTCCGAAGCCTGTCGTTACCTACATAGTCTTTTAATTTGGTTTTCAAATGAACGAGGGAGGACCTTTAACACGAAGGATGGAGCTATTACAATAACTTGTCAGGAGTTCTTGTGATAACTGTCACGTAGTTTGTCGGATAACTTTCGTATATACTACAAACAAAACTCGTCCAAACTAGAAATTTTTATCTTAAAAAGTGAGGTTTATGTGCTACATTTAACTTTTATGATTTAACGTGCCGTACATCTTGTATTATGTATCAAAAACTAATTCATAGGCCATTTTTAATCGCCTCTTGCTTGAAAGTTGGTAGTTTTGAGAAAAATTATTTGCCAATTCGCATGTATTGACCTGTTTATCTGGTCTTCATTCTTGCCATACAAAAATACTAATAATTATAATTGCAAAATTGCAAACATAAAGCCCCGGCTAACAAATTTATATCCGATTATTCAAATGCCCTGGAATTCTGGTGATAACTCAGAACATGTCTTAGAGTTCGTATGATAACTTTTGTTACTGCCAGTGTGTTTCTTGCGCTAAGTTATGGTACGTTTTAGCGTTTTTTATTACCAAATAAGGTTGTAACTCATTTTGAAATGCAATACGCTCATCTTTTTACAAAAATGAGGATATATATATGTTGGTTTAATGAGTGTATTTTAGTTCAAGAGATATTATTTCGTAAAACATTAAGTAACTATTCCATCCGTCTGCAGTAGCAAAACAAATAAAAAAAAATGAAGTAGTATGCACTACTTATATCTAAAATATAATAGGTTAAGTCATCTTCAGGTATTCTACATAAATAAAAATTCTAAAATGTATCAACTTTTGCCATAAAGACGTAGACAATTCTATGAAAATTATATGACAAACAAAGTAAATATTTAATTAAAGATGTGAATCACCTAAGGATTCATGCCGTTGATCGACCTATTTTCTTTCTTTGTTATTTCCACTTAAGCATCACGTGACTTACAGGACTCTCCATATTGCGGAAGAGATTTGCTTATCATAGTCAAGTAAAACTCAAAATTGGATGCAATATCTTTAGAATCACTCTACTTCAAACTGAGTGAGCATGATTTGCTTTGAATACCTATCCAGATGTACGAAACATTAAAATATATTTTTGTCGGTATTTGATGGGTGTCTCCCTTAGTAATCTTAGTGGATGTAACTCTGTTTCTTTTGCTGTAATTGGTAACAAAAATATATAGTAAGTTTGCTCGAACTCGGAGGAGCGTGCAAATTTGTTCAAACGCAGTTAAGTTTTTATCATGTATCCGCTTTTTCGAGACATAGGTGTGGATACTATCCTGGTTATATACTTGCTAATTGTGGTATAAAACAATACAAATTACTTATCCCTTAGATAAGGGAAGCACAACTATGTTTTGTCTGCTTAAGAAAGGTGGATGATTAAAATATGTGTAACTAAAAACAACGTGTAAGTTTTTAAACATTTTTGTTTTGCAGTTTAAAATATGATAAACAAGATCAACAAGGAAAGGCGGCGTTCAATGAACGCAACCCCCACATGACCCAGTAAGCCATGATACTGCTGAATATCGGTGACCTTATTGTAGATGAGAGCCTATTCTCTGTTTATCCTTGTACATACCCTATAGACCAACATTATATCCATATCTTTGTACAAAGGATGAGCGTACTATATTTCATCATGATTTACAACCTAATTGAATAGACAAGAAACACACTGGCAGTAACAAAATTATCATAAGATCTCTAGGATATCTTCAAAGTTATCACCAGAACTCCAGGACATTTGAAAAATAGTTAGACGGGGTTTTATGTTTGCAATGGTGCATTATGATTTGGTTATTATGTATGGCAAGGATAAAGACCAGAAATAAACAGGTAAATAAGTGCGAATCGGCACATAATTTGGAAATTTTACTCATATCTACCAGATTTTTAGCAAGAGGCGATGAAAAATGGCATATGAATAACTTTTTGACACATAATAAAAGATATACGGCAAGCTCAATCATTAAAGTTCAATTTAGCACCTAAAACTCGCTTTTAAAAGATGAAAATTTTATTTTTTACGAGTGTTTTTGTAGTTTATACAAAAGTTGTCCGTGACAGTTTTTACAAGAACTCCACTCGTGTAAACAGTTCCTTCCCCGTGATAATGCATTTGTAATCGTTTGGAAAGTCTCCTTTACGTCAATATAAGCAGTACTAAAAGAAACATTGCTACAAGATACAGGTATGCTATAGATAAAAGAATAAAACACAATAGCAATTTCCAATAAAAAACACTTTTGCCTCAAAACGTTTAAGCTTTATCCCGTGATGAAAATTTGAGATCAAAGGACATGTTTGAAAGAATAGCCGCACAGACAAACACCAAAAATAAATTGAAATCCTAAGCCTCTTGAAAACACTTAATCTCTCGTGATATAGTCGGCTTGGGAGTCTTTTTGTGTCGTTTTAGTACATGCATTACTATTTCAGGGTTATTAAACAAATCCTTCTACGAGGTTTTAGACATTGAATTTATTCAGTGTACGGGCAAATGAAGAGCAGAATGTTGAGAATATAGTTAATTATTGATTGCAAAGTGTAAAAACAAGTTAACATGTAAAATTTTATTAACTCTTAATCACCCCTCGTTGTGAAATTTCAAGCATGTTTCTTTAAATAAAAATTAAAATAATGATAAAATGATTAAAAAAAACATTACATTTTTTAATAAAGATTTATCAATAAATGCTCCAGGTTTAATCTGTTCATTAACTCCATGCTTCAGTATCGCACGTTGTTTATATAACTGACTTCGAAGTAAGAACTGGATGTAAGCCATTTCTTTTCTGGATGTTATAGTGACAAGATGTTCATTGCTCTCAAGACATTTATTGCTAGCATTATTCCATGAAACTTTTTCAGAGAATATGGAGTAGCATTTTTTAGAAAACCTTGCACATGCTAAAGATAGAAACAGTATAATTAATTCATTATTTCCTTGGAACATTTATATCATGCATTAAACGCATGCACTTCTTCAAAAAGGAGCTGTTCAACTTTATTGTAAAAATAATAATTGAAACAAGGGATGAATTTTAAATAATTGTCTGTAAAATTGTTCTCCTTTAAACATCGTATACCTTTACGTTACATTACTTTTCTTTAGACTTAGAAAATAGTAGAATCCTTTTGTAAAATTATATTTGACATTAAAGTGACATTATGCCCATTCACATGTTAATGGAAGGTGTACAGGTCAAAATAATTTTGGATTCTGCCGCACTTTCTTTCATTTCCACAGTCTAGTCTATTCGTAAAATCAACAACCCACGTGACTCACGGAATGTATCGTTTATGTTCAATTTATAAACAAATATTTTAGGCAGTTGTTATATTTTATCCTAAACATTTTCATAAAAGATTATTTTAAAAGACAAATATAATAGTGTTTTGAATACATTATATAGTCAATTCAGCTCAACGAAAAAGCATGCACATATATCACATAATAAATGTTCATTGACAAAATGATTCGTTTACAGATGAAACAATGTTTATGTCTTTATATTTGCTATATATTGAAAAATGTACCTTCTAAATCTGAATCTATTCCTTTCACTTCAGTAGAATACTTTTCCAAAAAATGCTCTGATATCTTATATTGTAACCGAAATCCTTCAACGTTCTCTCCTCTTTTGCCGTTATAAAATAACGGATCAGGTTTGATCAGAACAAATGAATCTTTGAACCTTTTGATTTGTATGTCTGTGGCGGTTGATGCGTAGAGCAAATGTAGACGTTTTCACCACGGTCTTCTATCCAGAAGTTTGATTTTATTTCTGTTAATCCTGTTTTAATGCAATGAAATATCTTTTTAGATTATTTGGTTTTGTTTGGTTTAACAGCGAACCAATTTAGGTCATATCGCGCCGGAACAGGAAATCTGATTTTAGCAAACGTCGGGAGTTACAAACTTACAGCAACACCAGACCTGGGGTCAAAACCACCTCACCTGCTGGAGCTAAGAGATGCAAAGACTCAAGGGAATTAAACCCATTTATTCCTTTCTTACGATCAAACATGGATAAACTGTGGCTACAATTCTGATGCATCAACACTTAAAGGCAGCCCCTTTGACGTAAAACTATCTTTACCTTATGAAACTGATGTTAAACATTTACAGGGAAGGGCCCCGATAATGTTGTGAAACGTTTGGCCCAACCTTTTCGTGTAAATGAAACAATTAAGGAACAACTAAGACGGCGGGTTGAATCGCTTAATGGTGCACCAAAACCAACGAGTTCCTTTTGTATAAATTAAATGAATCCCCAACAAGCAAAATTCTAACAATTATTCTGTTAACAATAGTAAAAAATTCTCACAATTATGAAAGAGGCTATGAATAGGATGATCACCTCAGATGATCAGGTTCTTTTTGTTTAAGCGAACACAGGTGAATTCCACGCAAAGGTGAGCACCTTGAATGTAAAAACCATTTATGCTTAACACACAGAGACCCTCTAACCCAAAGTCTCAATATTCAAAGAGTTATCAATTTATAATGTAAAAGACACCTATTGTTTTAGGCGTCGACACAATTATATCCCTAATTGGATAAAGGACTTCTTTTTTGGCGAAAATGCAAAGGTCAATTCGACATTAAGATTCCTGGTCCAGAACTAGAGAACCATTTGACATTTACTCACAATAAGGAAAGTCATCCATATATTTTTCATTGTCTAAGCGACACAAAACATGTATAATATCATACATGTGTGTTCTTTTCAGATAGTTGTTTAATGGAATAGAGAAGTGGAACTGAAGTAATACATGAACATACTATAATTTCTGGCATGTGCATGGGAGTTGGGGCAGGGGGCTTTACTATCCAGAATTGTATTCGGTTAAGACACTACCTCAGATATATATTATGTTCAGAATATAGGAATAAAAAAAGAAATGTAGGTCACAGTGATTAAGTTCTTAGTTGTACTATAGAAAAGCAAAGACAGTTACTAGGAAAGGTAAAGATTCCTGGTTAAATTTGATTATTAGACTTATAAGTCTTCCGTTCGTCCATCTGTACGTCCTTCTAGATCCCGTGTGAACTCAAAAAGTACTCAAAATATTAATACCTTAAACATATATATGGAAATATAGTTAAAAGGATGTGGATTTTTTTCCTAAAGTGAAAAAATATGATTGTTATTTCAACAAAAATACTTAAAATATAGCTTAAATACATATATATTGTGATTACTCAAAAAGTACTGAATTTGCTTTTATGAAAATTGAAGAACGGATAGGAGAGAGAGAGAGAGAGAGAGAGAGAGAGAGAGAGAGAGAGAGAGAGAGAGAGAGAGAGAGAGAGAGACAGACAGACAGAGAGAGAGAGAGAGAGAGAGAGAGAGAGAGAGAGAGAGAATAAAATGAAATAAGAACAACACAAGAAATATCACAACTTTTTCAGAATTAGTTATCTTCAAAATGTTTCTGCAATAGTTCTTTTCTTTTTTTAACCGACTAAAATAGCCTTTAGAATGTTTCTATTGGAAACTCTGAGATTAAAAATACAGTAGATTCTACCCTCAAACATACTTATAGTCCAACATTTAGGTCATCTATATTTTATTCTTGATTATGAAATAAATTTTAATTTTTCGTGCACTGCATAAAGTATAGTGTATGAGTGAAGATTTAATACAAATAACTTTTTACAGTGAAATTACAGAAAAAATAAAAATGCACATTTTTTAATCAATATCTCTCAATATTTCATTTCAAAATATCTAAATACACAATACGGAGGGGGGGGGGTCGTTCTTTTGATTGAAGACTGATCTGTGCGTCTTTCTCCGCGTGAAACTTGAGTATTGACTGGACTCGAAGTATACCCTGTAGTAGACCATTTCCTGTATGTATTTGTCACATTTTGTGGTTTTGAAATAGTAACTACAACTATACAAATGTATTTGTTTTGGCACATACGTAGGAGTTATTTCTTTAATGAATTTATTTTTTCTTTAATGAATTGCACGTGAAGATCTAGCATTAATCAAAGTTTTGCACTGAAAGTCTAGATCTATACCTCATTCCTTTGAAACAGCACAATTTGTGCTTAATGTAAAACTCCCTTAAGCGGTGGACATTTAGAACTCTGTTTATAGATTCTTGTTTTGCCTAATTTGACCGTTGACTATCATAAATTCTATAAGAAAATAATGAAATATTTATAATAAATTTAGTCCGTTCCAGAGTGTGTCTTGTCTATGTCACTTCTTTAGGCTGCTATGAAGCTTATTTATCTTTCAGCGGTCTAGAAATAATTTTCATATCAATTCTTCTTCTTATGTTTTTAGGAAGTGACAATAATACATTTCGGCCGTTTTCGTATGTGTAGTATATGACAATAGCTAAAGGCTGCTAACTTCCCCGGCTGCTGGATTGCTAGGCTGCCATGAATCTTGTATACTTTTAATTAAAATCACTTTCTCATGGAATAAGAAACATGTTTGATACAGAAAAGAAGAAGTACCTTTAAAAAGATACTCGGCCGAACTTGAACAATTTTTACAAGTGGACCGATTTGCTTTGGAGACGAAACGTCCTGTTTGCATTTTAAGTGGTGTTTTCGTTACTTTTTGACAAAATGCATATTATCTCATTAAAGCAGCGTAAAATCATCTGTTCAAGGATGCAGAGTAAAACGAAACTCATACTGTGTAGGAGATGACATAGTGAAACAAAACTTAAATAACTAAAATTTGATAGTAAAAGAACTTATGCATGTGGATAGTTCGTTTCCAGAACTCTTTTATATAAATTTGAAAGTAGACGCGTATAACATGTCAAAAACATTCTTCATGTGACTTTAACAACTTTGCAATGACCAATCAGATTTCGAGATGATTGAATGTCATTTAAAGTGACCAATGAAATTTTTAATAAGCTCTTCCCTGTTAAATTCACAGGAAGTCCAAAAATAGTCTCTGGCTGTAAAAAAACTCTTCTTTAACTTTAAGATATCAGATTGTTTCGAAGCATGTATTTTTTCCGCGCCCTAGAGAATTTATTTTCGTATCAAATAAGCTTCTAGTGTCCTAAGGGAGTGATGTTAATGAATTTCCGGCCGTTTCCGTATGCCTACTATATGTCCTGGCCGGCTTCGAAACTTATACATTTTTTTTTTTGCCATAGGGATAATTTCTTTGTATATAAGATATGCTTATAATGTCCTTGGGGATATTCTTAGATCATAATAAGCACCAGAAATATTACAAAGAATATATAGCGTTATTTTATCGTGTTTAAACGTTTATTTAAAAGCGAATGCACGTGTCATGCTTTAATTGTGTACACTATTCTTTCCATGTCACATAGTAAGGTTTTAAAGCAGCATATCCCCTGATGAGCCAAGCATTTCAAGAAAAATTCGAGAAAAATGTTTAAAAAGTTAAAATATTTACAATTCCAGAAGTAATTTACATAGTTTATGCAATTACTGACTTTATATTTTTGCATATTCTGACCTATTTTTTGACATTTTCGTAGATTGTCTTTTCGCTTGCTATGTATGTAAATTACTTTTAAACACATTTTAAGATTGTTCTTGTAATGAAAATGAGCATGGATCTGGAGGCGTGCTGCTTTAATCAAACTAGAAAATAAAACACTTTTAAAGAAATGTGCAACAGTTTGCAATAACGGATAGTCTCTTTTGCTTTAATGTTACGTCTCTTTTTCATACATAGTAATGCTAAGCTTGTGAAGTCATTCAGCATAAAATGCATTATACCTTATATGATAAGCAAATTACAAATCAATGAACGATAAAAGGAAAACACAAATTGGTACTAATATATATATATATATATATATATATATATATATATATATATATATATATATATATATATATATATATATATATATATATATATATATATATATATATATATATATATATATATATATATGACATAAATAAACTATATAACATACCAAAATAAGAATATGTTATATATATATGTATATATATATACATTGTGAACAGTCATAGGTGTATTATTTTAAGAAGCTAGTTGTCCATCATTTTAATTACAGGATCATTAGCTAGGAACAATCTAATTTAAAGACCTATTGTTAGGCACACTTAAATTATAGGACCAATTGTTAGGCACATCTTAATTTTCTCGGAGGTTATGAACGATGTGCGCGATCGTAAATTTTCTCATAACAACAAGAAAACCTCCACTTTCTGGGTCATGAACGACTGCTCTCTGCTCCACCTGAGCCACAGCCACGCCACTTTGTCCCCCTGCATAAGGAGCCACACCTCCATAACCCTCGTACGGAACCATTCCACCGGATGATTGTTGTCTTGGTCCTGTAAATGAATATAATGTAGAATGTTATTAAATAGCAAAAAACAAAACCAAAAAAAAACCGGTGTTAACAAAGGCAAAAAGCATATATTTTTTTCTATTCCTTTACATATATCGTAAGAATGCCAAAGATGAAATAAAGTTTTCATATACAGAAGATGTCAATCGGAACGTCCTCGGCTATTATTCATAGTAACATCGTAGTTAATATAGATTGAAAGTAGTTTTACCACGTGGTTTTAGATTTTAATAGAAACAGGGAGTGTAATATTCGATAATGTAAATTAAATTTACATATTTGACAACGAAAAAGTCTGTTTCGGTACAATTATGGTTGCAAATTTGTCTGACCATCATTTTTGATTTAAATATGCCCACTGATATACAATTATAAGCAAATCCGACTTAATATTAACATGTTGGCATTTTGCACTTTCGGTTTCTACAACCACAATTGTAAGTGTATAAATACATTGTAATGTTCTATGACTTTACTTATTTTAGATGGACTTTTACTTGATATATTAAAAAAAAATGTCAACATCTTTGAACAGTAAATTACTATTTGTTTACATGTGTAGTGACCGAAATATTGTATCCGTTCTCACTATTTTGTTTGAGGTACTTATCCGAAACGGAAAGGGCCGAACAGTTGCGATTGCAAAAGTCGTAAGATTCCCCGTCCGGTGCATACATTGTGTTTTACTGAATATTGTACTTCAGGACAACAAATCGCGCATTTTACATTTCATTTTTGAGGTTTACAATTTCTTGATATATAACAGCTCCTATACTTCTTTCTCAAACAGCAATTTCCTTATTTCCGGTTCAGTCCATTTTATGGATTACATATACCATTTTTATCGAACTGTGTTTCACACAAAGTGCGAATAAGAGGACATCAATTGATGAAATCAATTTTAAAATGGTTTCTGATGTACAATTATAACCAAATCCGAATAATTTTCAGACAATTTGTACTTTCAATTTCCGCTACCATTATAATAAGTATAATGATAAAGTACTGTTGACTGTAAGTCTTTTACTCGATACAATGGTATACATATTGTCTTCAACACCTAGCATTAAATTACTTTTTGTTTACATGTTTAGTTTCATAGCGTAGGTGTGACCGAAACACCGTATTCCTACTATTATGTACAAGGTCCTTATCCGAATACTTAAGCTAATGGCCGAAAAGTTGCGATTGTACGATTCCTTACGATTTATTCCGAAAAGAAGCTTCATTCAACTTCATTTTACAAAATAAAACAGCCGAAAGAATAGAACACAGTCACTAACTGTAGCTGTTTAACGCTTACCCCGCTAGACTCTTCCGTGTAGACTGACCACGCTAGGACCAACTGAGTCGTTGACCTACCTTTCGTAGGTGCCCGAGGTTTTTTCCAGATATGCTTAAATATACGCTTCTGGTAAAGATATTATATTTGGACAAAAAGGATGAGAAACTATCATGCATTTGTCTTAAAAAACTCAGTCGTTGACCTACTTTTTGTTTGAATGCGCGATGTTAATACAGTCTAAATGAATTAATAGATAAACGCTATTGAAAACATAGACAAGTCAGCAGGAAAATTACACATTTAGGACTTGTTTTGAACGAAACAGTAGCGACAAGTATGGAAGGGTATTAAGGCCAAAACTACATATTGCTTTCTTACGTTACATCGTGCTTTCAACTTGACATCTTGCATTCTGACTTGTACATCTTGCATTCTGACTTGTACATCTTGCATTCTGACTTTTACATGTTGCTTAACCTGCAACTGTTTGTATTTGGGTCTATTTGCTTGAATGACGAATGTCTTAAGGTAGAAAAACGCAGAAAGATCAGTAGATGACATCTACTAATTTCGCGGTCATTGGGTCAAAAATCAGGGTCACCGTGACTCTAAATGTAAAATTATTGACCAGTCAATAAGTTGTATAAATGGCACTTTTGGAGGCTGGTGAAGTAGGGGCATCCTTGTACTATAGCACGTGTCTGGTTAATTAGGGAAATTCATATAAATGGTGTAATCTGATTTGTTATTTATCATGTGGCCACGACTTAGTAACTCGTGGCCACGACATAGTATCTCGTGGCCACGACTAAGTATCTCGTGGCCACGACTTAGTAACTCGTGGCCACAACATAGTATCTCGTGGCCACGACTTAGCTATCTCGTGTTCACGACTTAGCGACTCGTGGCCACGACATAGTATCTCGTGGCCATGACTAAGCTATCTCGTGGCCACGACTTAGTAACTCGTGGCCACGACATAGTATCTCGTGGCCACGACTTAGTAACTCGTGTTCACGAGATAAATAAAAATACACACATGTCACCTTTGTGCTACCGTAGAAGATACCTTTTTAGTAGTTTTCTTTATAAAAAGGCATCTTCAGCCCAACATGTTATTGTCAGCTGGAAATATAATTTGACCCACAGTGTTTCAGTAATAAATACAAAAATTGGTTAAATCGTTTTGTATATATGTTTACCTTATTTCCTCCATAGTGGAAATGGAAATTTTAAAACGAAGGGACGTAATTTGGTAAACGCAATACGGACTTTACCGAGAATATAACTACAGCGCCACCTGTTAGCATAATTTGGGGGTCACATATTATTACACCAGATGTCGTGTCGTATTATGCTTGCTGCATTTGGCTTTCGGCTATGCGTCATTCAACCTTATGCATTCTTCATAAAAGCTGAGTAAATTGATCCAAATAGTTTAGTTATTGAATTAATATACCAGATCAACAAATGAATAATAATTGATCGTTAAATAACGATATCAACATACTATTAAGCAAGACGCACATAGCAGAAAGCATAATGAATTGTGCATGTAAGAAAGCAACATGTAAGAATGCAAGATGTACCAGTCAGAATGCAAGATGTACAAGTCAGAATGCAAGATTTACAAGTCAAAATGCAAGATGTACAAGTTCGAAAGCACGATGTAACGTAAGAAAGCAAGATGTAATTTTGGCGTTTATAGCCTTCCATAGACAAGACTAACTTGTGTTATTTCACATACATACCGTCGTCGTCGTCGTCATTCTTGAGAACCTTGCAGAAACAATAACATAGGCACACAGTCATGATGATAATCAGACAACCGGAAGTGAGGCAGAGGTAAAATGACCAACCAAGCTCAGACGTGGAATAACTTCCGGCAATGATCATGCATCCGATGAAACTGAACAATCCTGAATTGTATAAATGCACATATCCATGATGTATATTAAATAAATACTTAATTGATTGTGATATGAATTTAATTTATATAATAACTTTGACAATACATATTCAAGGTTTTATAAAAGGGGACGATCCGAAAAGCAATACTACATGTACTAGTATTCGATAATAGGTTTGTAAATTTATTTGCACTGGTAAAACTGTTTTGAGAATTGTCTCGTCATGTCAGGAATGATTTTTAAATACCAGCATAATATTTATCTTAACAAATTGTCAAAATGTAAACAAAATATATACATGTATCAAAGGCCAAGAACAATGTTGTATTCAGTTAGATAACATTTTTTTTCATATCGGACTAGTTTTTGTCTATATCTACGTTTCGCAATGTCTAGCGAGATTGCCTTTAATTGAAAGGAATGAAACGCGAAGAAGTCAACACCATGTTTACCTGCAACCGGAAACATCATTAAACAACATCCACCTATGAGGCCACACCAGCCCGTGTCCTCGTCGTCACCGCTGCAGCAGGATTCATAGCTAGTCGCAAATATTGCCAAGAACATAACAGCAAATGCCGTTGCCTCAAGGCCAAGGACTCGTGCATCTAGTTCTGTTGATAAAGAAGTAAAATTTAATTTTACAAAAATGAGGAAGTAAAATGTATTGTTTGTATTTTTTTTTTATCTTTATTATGACACAATTTAGGCTTGCACAAAATAAATTAAATGGTATGGTAACATTAAGGCAAATATTGCACTTGAGAGATAAGCATGAATTAATGTCATTTTATTTTATCTTACTCCGACTGCAATTAATATATCATTCTGTAGGTAGTGTAGACTGTGCTTTTTTCTAAAATCGCTTTTGATTCTTGCTTTATAATTTTCAAATTAAAATGTGTACATTTGTTTATTTTCTTACAACATTCAAGGATGCAAGTCTATTTTTAGACCAGGAAGACGAAAATTATCATAGCCGGACCATTTTCTCGGTTTGTATTGATACAATTTCACTAAAGTACGCCCAAGGCTGCTTGAGATTTATATTTGGCTATAGTTGTTTTTTGTTTGCATTTCCTTTAACGAGTATTGAAACTAACTTCATATAACAAGGAAGTGAATTGCATTATATATATACCATATTTAATCTGCTAGTAAGATAAATCTCCTTTGTCATTTCTATTTGAAACTCTGAAATTTTCAAAAAGGGGCTATAATCCCTCATCATACAGTGTTAAGAAATTATAATTGTCTCCCCTTTACTTGCAAAATAAAGGAGAAAAAGCAATGTCTGTATGTTAATCAATATAACCGGGTTAAAAAATTTATAAAGTTTCGAGATCGTTTGTATCGAATTAAAGTTGACCTTAATCATTTGATTAGATTCCCCATACTCTGACCTTTTATTTGAATAACAATAGATTTTAACACAAACATAAACATATGCTATTTTATTAAAATTTATGCTATTAGTTATTAGTTTTACTAATCTTATAATAACAATAAGACAGGTCAGGGATTCATGCATTGTTAGACACAGAATAACTACTACGATACACGCAATAAGGTTGTACATAGTCAACGGTAAGTAGTTCAAGTTAAATGGATGAATACGTTAAGTCATTACCTTGATTTAAACATTTGATTTTATATCGATTTACCTATTACATGTATTTTCAAACATGAAACAATGTATTCCTTTTGTTATTGTAATTTAATGTTCTATAATTGCTTAAACAATATTATTATAATGCTTTGCGAATGATTAACAATTGCCAATGAATGCGACACCACTGTCGCGAGGTCTATATCCTTACTATGAACTTTTATTTGAATAACAATAGATTTAACCACAAACACTGACATGTGATCTTTTGTTAGGAAATAATTTGAAGTGAAATTTATATTGTAATCCTCTTAGCTGATAATTTAAATTGAACAGATTAAGGTCATCATATACCTACTTACTGTAAACAATAGCGTTAACGATATATAATGCTCACATTTGTTATTGGAAAATACTGGAAAGTATTGCTATACAATCTATTTTTAAATGTAAAATAAAAATCTTACGAGTACACACAATTAAGATACGTTACATCTTAAACTCTACATACTTTAGGTAAACAGTATAAATACTTAGTGTCATTAAAACTGGAAGTTTTTTAAAGGCACATTATACCCCTGAAATACTTTAAAAATATTTTTTTTTCTTAAAAAGTTCTCTTTTTTGTGTATTTTTATATTTTCCAAAGTAATAATTATTGGGCAATTGCATGACCAGTTTTTTTTCTTCTGTTGCTGTTTTGCAAGTTAAATATTTATAGTGATTTAATATTTTGTATGAAAGTCAAAATACTACTTTTTTACATTTTGTTACTTTTATGACAAATAATTCCACATTTACCGCTACATTCTTTAGGTAACTAGCATCTTACATGCTCTAAAACGGTGTTTAAGTGTCATTTTACTCATGTTTGCCTTTAGAAAGATGTAAAAAAATATTCGTTCCTGAAGCATAATGTGCGTTGAAAAAGGACCAAATTAACCTAACCCCTTTACGGGCATGCACCTTCTCGAATGTAGTTTGCTTGTTCTCTTATTTAAATTACACATTATCAATAAGAATTTCCTAGATTTCAATATTTTTGTGCCATTAAAAATTAAAATATTTAACCTAAAGATGTGAATAATATGTCTTTAAACATAACCAAATTGCATACAAAATATCCCCGGTGACATAAAGGTCAAACAACGTGATTGATTGATGTCATCTATTTTTCCTTATGTTCATAAATGCTATCTTGTTATCTGTTAAATTTGTACCAAAGACGTGACTTTACTTATATATACATTCAGACTTAATTCGTACTATGTACTGAACAATAGATAATCTACCCTTATCACTGTTGTACAGCGTCCACCGGATATAGCCCCTAAAAACTCCGAAAACGAAAGTAAAAAGCTTTACGTCGAGTTCACCCAAGGTAATCTTTAAACTTATTTCTCCATCATAACTTTATCGATTTTTCTAAACTAAACAATTTTGTGAAGCTAAATATGTCAGGGTTTAGGGCAGTATTTGCTTTTTTCTGCAAATTGAATACTTTTTGTTAAATCGGCGATAAATTGTACCATTTTTGTTGACATGTGCGAACGATGTTTATATTTACCTGTATATCGTGTCCAAAAGGCATTTGTTGTATCAAAATCCATATTTAATATAAAATATAGACTTCCTTCTACTTGTATTTGATTGGTCATCCATCAAATCGAGCTGCTTTTAGCAAAATTTCCAAAAAAAAAATACATTGCCTAGTGTACAGAGTCTAGCACGGTTTTTTACGGGTTTGTAGATGGAAAACTGTTAGCAAGTGTACGGGGTGTAGAAGGTAAACGACTGCTATATTTTTGTTGCAAAAAATAAACTAAATAAAGTACCAGAGCATACACGTGCGCTGATGAAGAAATGACGATCGATGCCGGGGCAGGGATCGTAAAGTGAAACATTTTATCATTTTAAAAAGGATAAGAAAATGTTAAATTAGATAAGAAACATTATACGTAGCATGAATATCAATGGTAGTAAACCGTTTCCGTCCTAAGCTAGACAACTTTATATGCGTGATTGTGAGGAAAAATGTAAAAGTCAGTAGACTAAATCATTATAGATTGGTAGAACTTTACAGTGGAATTCTAAAATTTGTCTTAAACCATATCAAATCATGTTCACGTTATGCATTGTGAACAGTAAGTTTGATAATATTTTATTGCATATATAATATAATTCATCAATTCTTTTACTTCAACATAATTACACAATATACAAAATGTTTTTGCAAAATTATCATGGGCCTTTTCCTGTAAGATAATAGTTGACCACGTATAACTATGCAGTAAGGTCACGCAACATCGTGGAAGTATACAAATGCTTTATCGTAAACAATGAATAAAAGTTTTAAAGGCAGGGATGTATCCA